CTACAAAAATTACCGCGTGTAAATCGGTAAAGTGGTTGCTGAGATATAAGCCTCGCAAAAGCGTGACCACGGCCGGCCGGCCGGCCGCTCATACTCAGAAATTTCCGTTAATCTAAGGAAAGACTACGCTCGCTTCGCTCGCTCCGTAATAAATGGACTCTAACGCAAGAGATGGGTAAGGAATCCGCAATTAGGAGGCTTGTGATGGCTTGGCACTGAGAATGCACATGGCATCAGGAAGTGAAGCCTGCAGGCTAATGCTCACTATGATTTGCAAGTCAAACAGTAGCTTATCCACCTCTGCATTAGGAATGATAACATCAGCTAAAGCAAAAGAAGTATTCTTGTGGCAGTGATTTCAGCATGCAGGCAGTAAATACTGAAAGAAATGGTGCTCCTATATGTTGGATATCTGTGTTAATCATTTATCTTTAGTGATGTCTTTTGGTGACCTCTTTAAGCATAAAATGTGTTCCTATCTTTGAAGCCAGGAGTGATTCAAATTGCACACCCAGGTTACAGAGAAGCTGGTACATACATAAACAACATAGGTTACACATTGGTCATTTCATCCCCAAATGATAAAAAATTTTAGCTCAGGTTTACAGGTCAGGGTCCAGGTCTTTCTGGGATGCTGCAGAGCCAGATGATGTTGTCCTGGCTCCATCAACAAACTCTTTCAAAGAGAGGCTTGACCAACACTGGGCCACAAAACCATCCTCAATGTGATCCAAATCCAGTACCTATGCTTTGAAGTGAGGTTGAGTCTGCTCCGCACTCGGCGCCGACCGCCGACGGCCGGCCAACCGTTCAATACAAGGCTCGGTGCTACGATGTGCCAATGTCACAATACAGCCTGTGGGATGGAAAATGTGTGCTATTGCTAAGGATAGCACGTTTTATTTGCGTTCTCACAGAAGCCTCGCGGATGTCGTGCTGCCGAGTACATATGCGTTTGCTAATCTAGTTGGTTACCGCATTTCGGTTTAGGTGACTTTTTTGCTTTGGTATCTTATTTTTGGAGGGCCGCAGTTCTCTAGTATCGCTTTGAATATGTTGCCCCGTGCATGTGCATAACATCGCGTTATTTTCAGGTGCCAGTGTCGGGCAGACCAAGCCCTTGGCCCAGCTGCGACACATCCGATCGAAAACCACAGCTTCACAGGCCGTCAGCCGTAAGTCACTCCTTGTGTTGGGGCCTCAGGCTTAGTTTTACAGATTGTTAGGGCCATCAAGTTTACATCTTCAGAGTTAATGTCAACAGAAAGGCGAACAAAGGACGGTCTTTAGAGGAGCATGTGTTCATAAAAGGAGTAAGGAAAATGTAATTTAGAAAGCTGCCCTTTACATGCAACACAGGAATGGAACCTGTCGCTTCCCCCTAGCACAGAATCGTTGAATAGCCCGACAACCGCTATGTTGTTTCAATTTTCGCCATTTGTCGTCAAATGCGTGTATGCTGTTTTTCAGCGACAAGTCTGAAGGTTGATCCGTCTCAGAAAAAGTCTCTGTCGGACTTCGGCAAATATGTGGCTGATTGTATGCCTAAATACGTTCAGAAGGTTCAGATTTCATCAGGGAATGAGCTCGAGGTGAGTTCGTCATGTAATTGTTTTTCATGTGCTATTTTTTATATGTCCCAATATAACCATAAGAAACTGCACCATTCCTTTAAGTACGACGCTTGCTTGCTTGCATATCAAAGCACGGTAATGATGTACTTTTACACCTTCTTCTAACCAGCTCTTTGTTATGAACTATGAAGGTCTGTCTTAGTTCACGCACGATGCTGTCCAAAAAAAAAAAAAAACAATGTTCAATGCCCAAAAATTGAAAGTCCTGAACTGAAATTTGATTTGACTCAAAAAGGAACTGTATTTTTACTTTGGTTATTAACAAGCTGTTGAAAGCCCTCTTCCCCATCTACCCATATACGAGGCGAAGAATATCAGCATCTGAGCATCCTCCTCGTTACGGGATGTGAGCTAACGAGCAGCTGTTTTGCCGCTGCCTGCTGTGTGGTCTAGTCACACACCCCTCACTACGCCCACCCGTTTCAGATCCTGATAGCGCCGGAGGGCGTGGTGCCGGTGCTGCAGTTCCTCAAGGACCACCATAACGCCCAGTTCGCTGTCGTCTCGGATATCACGGCCATAGACGTGCCGTCCCGTCACTACCGATTCGAGGTGGGCAAATGGTCCAATGTTCTAACATATACGAATCTGTTGTGGTCACAGGCCTCCGATATGCCGAAACGGAAACACTGTGTTCTATTTTTCAACTTACTGGTATGCCAAAATTCTTAAGCTGTAATTTGTGTCTGTTTTCATCAAAGCACCATTTTCGTCGGAAACGAAAACGAAAAATAACGGCTTGGCAACGCGATAACACTAAAACGGAAAGGCAGAGTGTGGGAATATTTTATGCGGTTTTGATGTACAACCCTCCGCATTTCAGCTGATCTACAACCTTCTGTCGCTGCGTTACAACTCGCGGATTCGCGTGAAAACGTACACCGACGAGCTGACACCGGTCGACTCCTGTGTCGAAGTCTTCAAGGGCGCTAATTGGTGCGTATGTCCATTTATTTTGCTGATACAGGCATTGTGGGGGAGCATTATGCGAGGCATCCATTATTTCCGGCATAGTCTGTACTTTGTGTCTTCTTTAACTTTGTTGTCATTATCGCTGAAAACGTTCTCTTATCGCCTAAAGAAGAAAAAATCATACTGACTGATCCATGGTCATTCGTAAGACTTGTCTGATTATCTCTATCCTAGTGCATTTCAGTAATATAGAATCATCGCTGTGCCGGCAGGTATGAGCGTGAGATCTGGGATATGTACGGAGTGTTTTTCTCCAACCATCCCGACCTGCGGAGAATCCTCACCGACTACGGATTCGAGGGACACCCGTTCAGGAAGGACTTCCCCCTCTCCGGATACGTCGAGGTAACGGCCGGCCTTACTATCTTGTGAATCAACACTCAAAGCCGTAAAGGATGCCCGTCTCGTTGCCACTTGTCATTTATCGTGTTGCGTTTACCATGTCACTTAAAGGTAGTGTGCCACCTTTGAAAGATTTCCCATTTTATTTTTCCTAGGATAAGAAGCTTCTGTTTTTACCTAATATCGCAAAAAAAAATCAAAAATGGGCCTGGAATAGTGCCTTTTTCGCCTAAAAGTTTTTCGGTTTTTAGATATGTATAACAACTGTAGTGGGCTCACCTGCAAACAGGCGTCGGGCAACAATCGCGAATGCGGCGCACTTGTGACAATAAGCAAAGGTCATTATAGTGTTACGACCATACGACGTACGGGAATGAGTTATCAGCTGTCTAATCGTAGACAACACAATGTCGAGCCTTAAACTGTAAGCCCGTATTGGTATTGTTTCTTTTATTTGGCTGTCGAACATTATTTATGGTTTGAAATATGATTTTATGTAAAATAATTGATATGAAAAAGCCGTCTTATAAGTTATGACCCCATTTCACCACACGCAAGTGGCAGAAATGACAATGATCAGCTGACGCATTTTTCTTGGCCGAAGTCAGAGCGCGCGGCCCGACGCACCACGCGTATTTGGAAATTCCGACCTCGACGAGCATCAGAAGCCATCTAACAGGCGTGTTCGAAACCGCAGGAGATGATGATGAACGGGTTTATCGAAACTTGATTGGATGAGCATATCGGTAATAGCGATTTCAGTGTGTGCATTTATTGTTCATAGTGGTGTGAAATGTGGTTGGGGTACGACCGACAACCCGTCGGGGCGAATTTCGCACTGGGGTACTCAAAATTTGAAGAATTTAAGACGTTTCCATGAGTTTTGAAGGTATGGATAAGTTCTAAAAATCCGGTTCTCCTTATCTGGGCCATTAACTCCATACGGTCCAAGAAAGCTGGCACACTACCTTTAATATCAGGCCATATGATCGTTTAAAAGGCTCGGGCGTTTCATTTTGGCGCCTGTTCCTCCCTTGTTCGTCTAACCCCAGTCCTGTGTGTGTGGTCCCCGTCGGCAGGTGCGCTATGACGACGAGGCGAAGCGCGTGGTGGTGGAGCCCGTCGAGCTGGCCCAGGAGTTCCGCAAGTTCGACCTCGAGTCGCCCTGGGAACAGTTCCCGGCGCACCGCTCCAAGCCGGCCGCCGAGGACGTGGCCATCGACAAATGAGAGCTGGACGGCAAACCCTGGACTCGGTCAAACCCGGTCCGGACTACATCAATAGATGAACTATGAGGTGCACGGTATGTCAATATACTTGAGTGTGTATGTGTAATCGATATTTTACAGCTGACCCGGATTATGTAGATGAGCTGAGGGGTGGAAGTCAGAGCCTGTGGTAAAGATGGCTTCTCACCCAGGCCCCGTCCTCCACCGTCTCAAGGGAGGAATTATGGGTCACCAACAAAATTTTAAGTCTGAAGTGTATGTACAGTCCTCAGCAGACTGCGTGGTAGGTATATTTTTTTTCGACAAAACCAGTAATAACTCAAAGACTATGTTGTCAGTCGGTCGGAACTCACTGAAAATAGAGGCGCCATGCTCTACTGCTTCGATTGGGTATATCACTAAACAAAGTATGTGCCTTGTGTGGCAACAAAATGCAAAAGTTTGTTTTGGGGGCAAATATAAACTTTTGGGTTTTGTTGCCAAACTGGATGGAAAATGAATGCGATGGTAATGCCAATCTAAGGTGCAGAATCTCGCGCATCTTGCTGTTATGATTGCCGAGCGACCGATAGCATAGTATCCGCGTTATTCTCGGTTTTGTCGAAGAAAGAATACCTACCACGCAGTTTGCAGAGGGCTGTACACATTACACATAGCCGGACGGGCACGATTCGTATCATTCAGTTAGCGGCTACGACTAACCGTGAATGAATGACCTTTCTTCCAGCAGACACCGGCTCAGAATAATGAGTAAGAATGCGTAATTGAGAAAACAATACGGTAAATGCTTAATTAAGGGATAAGTCATTTTGAAAGGCATTGCTATCAAGCACAGAATCATTTATTGAATAGCGATCCGACGATTTCACATACACCCTCATATCATTCAGGAATGGTCAAGTGAAGATACTTGCATTCGCATTATTTTATGCGATAATGACTAATTACTAATCATTCATCAATCACATGTGAAAGCTATACCTACAGCGCCACTAATTCAAAAGACGATGAAATGCTAGTGGAATAGAAAATTGTAAATAATCTCAAAATAATGCTTTGACAGCACAAGCATAACACACTTACATCGTAAATAAAAAGCATTACGATATATCCAACCCATTGGTCACGAAAAAGGCGCGAGCTAAGGTCAGAAGGACACCGTCCGGCTCGGTTTCTGGCACCGTTCCTCGGTGCCATCAGGGTGCAGCCGGTGTCACGTGGTCAGATTACAAATAAGCCCTTTCACGGTAAGCACAGCACTTCGAACGGCACAATATGGCACGGGACAGTCAACGTCCGCCGGCCGCCTCTCGGTTTCACACGGCTCCTTACAAATTGGTCGTCATCCGCGATGTGAGGGCGCGCACGCGCTTGGCGTTGCAGTTCTTGCACAGGACGTGACCATCGAGCGGGTAGCAGCCCCGGCCCTCAGCCTCAGATGAGAGCACGAGTCCGCAGTCCTGCCGACAAACGCCCAGATGTCAAACCGCTCACGCACATGCAACGCACGCAAGAGCAAGAGCAAGGGTAACGAACCCAAACGTCACACTTCTGGTGATGCTTACACAATGTTGTGGACGCACACAAATAACGTTACATTAATACTTGTCGGTAGTGCTCTGCGATAATTCATGTGGCCGGCAGTCTACCTCTCACACAAGCCCGAGAAGCCGACGGCTCTCACCTTACGCTAGCCCCTACGGCGACGGTTCTCACCCGAGAATGGCTCTTACGGCCAGCGATTCTCGGTCTGGTTCTTACCTCACACTTGTAGCAGGAGACGTGGAAGCTGCGATCGAGAGCGACCACCCTGACGGCCTCCTCCTGACCGGGCTCCGGCATAATGGGCTCGTGGCACACGCTGCATTTGGGCGCGAATTTCCTGGCGACACAAAATATGTCGTCTGCTGACACCACCCATAAAACATTGCACGGCTGCATGTAACGTAACGTGGACTATCAGTATGTTGTATTATGTAGTATAAGTATGTTCACATTCACAACCACGTTACATACATAAATGTTACATTTGATTTCTAATGGTTTTCGATGTTTCTCAGTATCGCTTTCGATACAAGCTTTATCATCCATCGTTGGTCAGGACATGAGGCTCGGTAGCATGAAGCAGCGTCCACAGCTTGGGAACCAAGGCAAACATTGACATGATAACTAAGCTCATAATACCAGTCATTATTTGCTTTTCGAATAACAGAGGGGTTGAAAGATAGTGTGGTGATTGGCATTACGTGCTAGCTTTTGTTCTGCATCCATCCACATGTTTATCGTCTGACAAATCAATGGATTGGTGGGTAGCTAAACACAGGGGTACACTGAGTCGTGAGATCGTCAGATAGATCGAACACGGTGAAAGGCTAAATTAGAGCTCATAGCACATCAATAATTATGCCCATACCCAATCCCACGAAACAATAACTACCGGCGGAATTCACGCCCAACAAACAAGGAAACTGCGCGAAAGAAGTGAGAAAGAGGTAGTTGAGACAGAAAGTACGTCATTAGCGTACCTGTGGAAATCCTCGATGCAGTGAATCTGGTTGGCGGCGTCGACGGTGAAGCACACACCATCCAGCGACTTCCCGCACACGACGCACGTGAAACACTCTGGGTGGTAGGGCTTTCCGGTGGCGCGCAGGATCCGCTCCAGAATCGGCTTGGTGCACACGCTGCAGCGCTCCAGGGTGTCCTGTTGACAGGGGCAGCGTGTCACGGGGATCTTGTCGATAATGGTACGGTGTGAGGGAGATTGATGGAAAGTATCGTGCCGAAGCGCTCTATCCTTGGTATGGAATGTAATTGCTTTATGTTTACATCGGCTCCAGACCAGTAGCGAATCTGAGGGGGCATCTGGCATCCTCGCTGGAAGGAAAGCGAACTGCATGGGAAAATGTTAAAGGAAGACTGCCACCTTCAAAAAGTTTTCTCAGATCGGCCTATGATTTATTCCCTGGACAAAACAAAATTCTAGAATTCACCTGACAAAGTATCATCACGTGAATCGCGAAAAAAATTGTCGATTATCATACAATTATCAATCGGTTAATGTCTAGCGACAATGTTTACACATCACTAGACTTCAAGGTCATAAGATTATTACATTTTATTTGAAAAAGTAAGGTATTTTATGATTTACTAATATATGATTTCATAAGAAATTGGCCATGTTTAATTTATTTTGCATTTAAGTTCGTAAAACATTTAAAAATCATGGCTCATTTGGAATGGGTCTGGCCCATGTTAAACCCCATTTCCCACACTTTTTGGGAAAAAATGAACTACTGAATATATAAGTTTAACTTTTATTTTGACACTCCAAAATTCTTCTCTGATCTCGAAACAATCAAAGTTTTGACATATATTTACCAAAAGATAAGAAAATTCATGTTTCAAAGTTATCGATAAACAGTAGAGATGTCGGTTTTCTTGGACTTAAAAAATGGCATCAAACTGAACTTTGGTCTCCGATTTCTCGCAAACGGGTTCGAATTTCGGAAAACCGACTTCAGTCTGGGACATAGGTGGCTCAGCTCTAGTGAAAACCGTTTTGTGGAAAAAAGGTGGCAGTCTACCTTTAACCCTCGCCCGTAAACGGTGTTTTGCCACCTTCGCCCATGCAGGGGGGGGGGGGGGGGGTTGGTGCGACCCCCCCCCCTGGCGTTTGAAAACGAAGCGTCGTAGAGCTTAGCGGAAAAGACCAACGGATTGCTCTCAACGAGATCTCGCGATTGGTGGTATATTTTTTGGTCCTAGGTCAACATTTGACCTACTTATGACCGGTCAAAGGTCAAATTTTCGGAAAAATCTAACTTTTTCAGATTTCCGCGCCGATTGCGGCAAAACGGTAAAAGATATCTACTTGAAACCTTCACTATCGTGATCCTTGATCAATTCTCTATCGTTTGGTGTGTATTTCGAAGTCATAACTCTAAAAATGATGCGTTGGGAGCATCGGAAGTCTGCAAGGTCATTTGTGCATTGGGTCACGTCAGGCGTGTGACGTCACTGACCTGACCCTGACCCAAAATGAACTACAAGAAACAACCGACGATGCCTGAAATGGATAGCAAATTCGAATTCAGGGCATCAAAATACCCCGAAAAGGCATACAAGTGCAAGAAGTCATTACAGGTCAACCGAGGTCACTGACCTGACCTTGACCTTTAGTAACCTTGAAAAGGTCAACGGACATTGTGCCAATGTCAAATCAGCCAGTTATGATTCTAAAACAATCCTTCAGTGTGTCAGGTCAGTCGGCATTTATACCAATGTGAAGCAATCTCCAATTTAGCGTAAATCTGGCCGAAGGTTGTTCCCTTTATGACGTCATAACTCCGTGACCTGACATGACCTTGACAAAACATTTTTGCCAAAAGTTGCGCAAAGGATGCCCCAAAGGGTACTGAAAATTTGAGCAGGCTATCTGAAACGGTTCGGCGTGTAGCTAAGAAAAATCTCAGGGGGGGGGGGGTGCACCCCCCCCCCTACATGGGCGAGGGTTAAAATGATTGCTTTGAATAATTGAAAGGCAACGCATAACTCGAAGTTTTTGGACCTTGGACAAACTTTGTTAGGAGTTGTTTTCGCAGCGTTTACAACGAACTTCCCGGATTCGCAAATGAGTGGTTCTAGAATTTCACAGGTTCTATGACATGCACAGCCCTCAGCAGACTGCGTGGTAGATATTCTTTTTTCGACAAAACCGGTAATAACTCAAAAACTATGTTGTCAGTCGGTCGGAACTCATTGCACATAGATGCGCCATGCTCCACTCCTTCGATTGGGTCTATCACTAAACGAAGTATATACCTTGCGTGGCAACAAAATGCAAAAGTTTGCTTTTGGGGCAAATATAAACTTTTGGGTTTTGTTGCCAATCTAAGGTGCAGAGTCTCGTGCGTCTTGCTGTTACGATTTCCGAATGAAGATAGCATAATATCCGCGTTATTCTCGGTTTTGTCAAAAAAAGAATACCTACCACGCAGTTTGCAGAGGGCTGTAGGGGCATTCCACGTCAAATCGAACAAAAATCGGCTGTTTTGCACCTTACCATCAGCGATTTCATTATAAATTTGTGAGCGAGTTCCTGTGTGGCTCCGGACATTACATTGATGTTTTTTGCACATTCTGACCACAGGTCTTCTAAATATAGGGCATCAAATTTTTACAAAATGTTGCATCTTTATATTTTTGAACGACCATAACTTTGGTTGTACTTGTTTGATTTGAATGAAATAAACCTTACTGTTTAGGTAATTTCTTAAGCATTTGTTTAGAACTGCACTAACTTAAATATATGACCTTGAAATTTGCTTAACTCTGTTCTTAAGCACAAATATTGAAACAGCAAAAAACACGTCACCTTCGATTTGGCTCATTTTCATATATTTTATTGCCTACTATATTCTTAACAACCTGTGAAAAAATTAGAGTGGGCCATTCATAAGTTTTGAAGAAAATTGCACATATGCAAACGTATGTTAGCACGCGCAGTGGAGGGGGAAGAACAAATTTCGCCCACCCCTCCTGTTTTTCGCCAATATCTCATAAGATTAATGCGAAATTAATTATGGCTACCTGTCAAGAATTGAATTGGGCATCTCATCGTGCAAGCAATAAGAAAATCGGTTCACAACTGTTCTAGTAATAGCGGTGTAAAGTGAACATCCTGTCGCCGCAGCAACGCGGCGGCTCGGCAGCCGGCGCCGACCGCTACACGCCGCCTGAATTGTAGACTGTGCCGGGACGGAACGGAACGGTTCCGTCTTTACATCGCGCTCCCTACCGCTGATTACCTTCGATTCGCGTCAAATTTTGTGAGAAGACTAAGAAATGTACAGGCAATCTTATGGCGAAAAAATTTTGAAAATCGGTTGGTAAACAATTGAAATATGAACGTGTAAACACAAAATTGTGATTGCTGCGTTTCCCGCATCGGCCGAGCCCGCCTCAGCCGGCGACATGTTACTCTTAGCAGGCCTCTAACTGCCATATTTATTATTGGATTAACTAGAAATTCCCCATACATACTAAAAAATGTATGTTCTTTCGTATAGTGGAGATCAAAAGACGTGAAAATATCGTAGCGTGATAATGTTTTCGTTGAATTTACTTCATGATGCATTTCCACACGGCTCAAAATTCACCGCAAAATACCGTTTGCCTGAGACACTTTTACTATGGAACGTGAATGCTTGACTACGATGACTATGCATTTCCATTCTCGCAGAGTTTGGGATATCGCTAATCAGCAATCATTCATTTCAGAAAGTGTACACAAGCAAGCATGTCTTGACTCTGTCTTTCAAGGTCACGCGCGGTTGCGTGATGTTGATGCATGAAAACGGCGTTTGCCGCGAAAGTTATGAATGGCCCACTCCAATTTTTTCACAGATGGTTAGGAACATTGTGACGGACATAATATGTAAAAATTACCCAAATCGAAGGTGACGTGTTTTTTGCTATTTAAATTTTTCTGTTTTAATTCAAGGTCAAATGCATTTCAAGGTCACTTCAATTTAATTTTATAATTAAAAATCAAAGCCTTATCAATTGCCTATAAGACCCTGTTAATATCATTTTGATACCAGAAAAGGAACCAGAGTTATAGCCATTTAAAAAATTGATGTGTGGCATTTTTCGCTATATTCGATGACCTATATCTCAGCGATACGTTATCAAATTTTGAAAATATTATACGTAACTCAGTTTTGAACCATGCCCAGTCTGCCTACAAATTTTCAGAAAAATCGAAGGGGATGACGGATTTCGGTGTTTGATTTGACGTGGAATGCCCCTGTAGGTACCTACCGCCTCTATTTCCATTGTGCTTTCCATGGACAATCTGAGGCAGTCTGAGCCACATACTGTCTTTAGAGTTTAGATATATATCGGTACAATGATAAAATATCCCGTATTGACCTACCATGTAGCACTCCTGGCAGTGCGGTTTGTTCTCGACGGCGAAGAAGGGCCGTCCCTGCAGCAGTGAGTGGCAGCCGTGGCACGTGAAGCAGTCCACGTGGAACACCTTATCCATAGCCGTACAGCCCGTGCCCTCGCCGACCACTTTGTCTCCACACTTGGAGCACATGCCTGCCAAATAGCAAAACAGCGTCAGACGACGAGAGAAGGAAACTTCGAAAGGTTTTGCCTTTTGGGAAAACAGCCCTTTGAAAAGCCATGTGCGGTGACGTCCATCTCGTGATACTGATATACTGTCAGTTGTTGGATATACAGAAAACTGAATGAGTATGAGTATTGATATAGATAAATAGATCAACAGAACACATTGGCTGCTTCCAAAAGACAAAAGCTGGCTCGATAGCTATCTTTCGAGTCAATCAAGTTGATTTTAGCTATATACCGGCTACAAGAGCTGCGCGTCTCACCGAAGAAGTCTGGCTGAGGGTTGTCTAGGCCGTGCACCAGCAGGCTGGTCAGCGAGTCCACCTCGGCCTCTCGGCCGGTGCGGTCCGGGTTGGTGATGGGCTGAGCGCTGGGTGCCGGCGCCAGGCCCTGCGCGCCCGGCGCCACGAACGGTCCGCTCAGCGGGTACTGGCCGCGCGCCGGCCGCTGACCGCCCCCACCGCCGCCCCCCGGCCGCGGTCGCATCGGCTCGTAGATGGACTCGTACGTGGAGCTCTGCGGGAGGGGGGAGAGACACGGGCTTGTCAGCGAACACCAGATGTCCCCTGCAAACTGGGCACTTCACATTTCTAACGACAGTACATTAGTAATTTCCATGCAAAACGTTTATCAGGTATGAGGTGAAAAGTAGCAAGGCCTGCAAGAACGTGCTTAGTGCTCACGCCAAGATGCACATCACGCATGAAAAATTTTAATTTCACGCAATGAAAATCATCTCATTAAATAATTAGAGTAATCCTTATAAACATTAAACAATAAGTTTCAAAGTTGTACTCCCGTTCGAGTAAGCTTTCGAAACACGAAATTCCAAGGAAGTGCTCTAACTCCGGCCAGTATCTGTCGGACGTACCGTCTGCGAGAGCGGCGCGTAGGCGTTGAACTGGTTGACGGCGCTGGGCACGGTGGGCGGCGGCGCGCCCCGGTTGGCGCGCCGCAGCTCCGAGTAGCTCGAGCTGACGGGGGAGGGCGGCGCCGGCAGCTCGCCGCTGTACTCGGACGAGTCCACGTACAGCTCGGGCGGCGGCGGCGGCGGCAGGTCGTCCTCGGGCGGCGGCGCCGGGTAGCCTGTCCGACGGCGGGGCAGTCGTCAGAGCGGGGGTACTGAGCTGTCACAGCGGGGAAACTGAGCTGCCGCAACTGGAGGAACGGCTGCCACAAGCGCCGAAAACAAAAATACATTTTGTGGGTTCATCGACAGCTACAGCCACTGGGTGTTGCGAAAAAGTCACATAGAAAAACTCGTCGAACTTGACCCACTTTAGTCCCTGGAGACGGAACCATTGACCTGGAACCAAACACGTGTGACAAACAGGCTTCTGATTAACCTTTTTATAAACAGGGAGAAAAACAGCTATAAAAATCACGCCAGTGCCATTCACCCTCCTCCGGCCGCAGGTCGAACCTCAGCCGCTCAGCCGTCTCGTCTCACGGTCTCGGACACTGCCGACGGCGACATACCGGCCGAGCCGTTGGTGCCGTGCTGGCCGTACGCGTACTGAGAGGGCACGTATGGGGGCGGCGGCGGCGGCAGCTCCTGGCCGCCGGCCGCCGCCTGCTGCGCCGAAAACTCGGGCGGCGGCGGCAGCGGCTGGCTGGGCAGTCGCGGCGCGCCGACCGCACCCGGCGGCAGGTCGGCGTCCCCTCCGGCCGTCTGTCGACACGCGCCGACCGCAACACGAGTGTGTCAGTGTTAGGAAAACAAATAACGGGAACCGTCATTACCAAGACCGATCGTTGTCGGTTCACTGAGACAGTAAGCAAATAAGCATCTGACCTGTTCGGTGGAAGCCGTAAATACTTTTCACGCGAGTGATAACAGTAAGCTCATGTTTCGCAAGTAATTGGAAACCCCCTTGGATGCAGACAGACAGCAAGTCGCAATTCGCATACGTCATTCTATAGCCAGATGACGGCGGAAAACCGAGACGACATTGGACACCTCACAGCCTGTCTGTTTATGACGCCAATCCGGCACGGGACAGAGGCTGAAGATCACATTTCTCACCTGCTGTTGAGACGGCTTTTTCGGTTTGGGCGGCACGACAGGTGCCACCTTGCGCTGCTTGGTCTCGGCGCTGCTGTAGCCCTGCGGCGTCGAATTGGTGATGTGCAGCTGGCTGAGCGCGCCGTCCAGTTTGCGGTACAGGTCGCCGCTCATGGTGGCAGCTGAGAACGGACAGACAGATAGGGGCCAGGCGGTGTCAGCGCTCCCAGTCCTACCCAGGCGCCGGTCACAGCACTGCGCAGCGGTCGATAGCTCAGTCTGAGCGAGGAAACTCTGCTCGGGGAACGAGAGTTGGGCGGAAGGGTGCGCAAGGCTGAATTTTGCGCTACATATGCTGACTTTTAACTTCAAAGGCTAGCTCGGACACCAGGGGTCAATAACGGCTTGCGCCTTGCAGTGACAAGCCGTATACCTGTAAGCCGTAGCACAAATACCGTTTAGACGGTATTAGTGAGACCATCATATGTTGCTTGAGTCTGGGACAAAGACTCCATCTCGGATTCGCTCTTGATATTTTTATTGTTGAAGTCGATGGTGTCGGTGGCAGCTATTAGGGTCTACCCGGACAGCCCCGTCGAAATCGACTCGACACCGCTGACAGTCGGACGGACCTACCTATTTGACACTCGTCTTTTCGCCCTTCGTTCCAGCCCTAGTCATACGTAGGCACCAGACAGTCAACGGGGACTCGAATGACCGGGATCAGTGGTCAGTGGCCATACGCCGGCCCGTAATCCGTCCCAGCCCCATTACAAAGATAACCGTCTGCCTTGTCCAAAGTCCGTGATAGCACGGTTCAATTTTGGTTGTCAAACTGTGTTGGTCGCGACCACCGACGATAGGCTTCACGCCTGAGCGGTCTTGCTGACCAGTGGTCTGTGCAGTGTTCACCCTACCTACATTCAGCATGGTTATAAAGGCTTCAAAGCCGCATATCTTTTTTCCCACTTAATTATTTATTTTCATGAATTTAGACAGACTAAAGCCGCATATCGCTGAAAGCGCCAGTTGCGGCGGGCGTCATGCGAGTTTTCGGTACCTTCAGGAAAAAAGAGCAATGCCACTGGAGAAATTGGCTTCGGTAGGCCCAAAAGCACAAGGCTCCGGGGCAAGGTATAGCAGCAAGGTATAGCAGTGGCCAGTGAAAGCTGTTTTTCAACAGCACTTTCACCTAACGTGCTTTTTGTGTTGAGACGAGTCCCCAAATCGCATTCCGCACTCATCGTGACCTTTATTACCATTTATCCCATCCGTAAATGCACGGGAAAACAAAATACAATGCCTATTTCGATTCGACGAAATGGACGAGCCAGGAGAGTTCACCGTTACTCAATGGAACTTGGGACCCGCGTACCCCCTATGCCTATGGTCCCCCTGTCCCTACCCGCTGCCCCAGCTGACCCACATTCTTTGTCGGACAGCCTTGCATGACATTGGTCGCCCCCCCCCCCCGCTCCCCCCGGAACCGTGAAGGCCCGCTGTGGTGGAAGTTCCAGTGAGCTGAGTCAGCCGTGTGTCAGAGCAGTGTGTCAGAGCACCGTGTCAGTACATTGTGTCAGCGTTAGCGACGCCATTCCTGACTCAGTGTGCACACGGGCGCGGGCGGACCGACCGGGTGACGTCATCGATAGCTCGACGCCACACGATTCGCCTCCCCCGGCCCCCTCCCCCTCAGCACAATAAGGAACAGAGGCTGGCTTTCTCCTCTGACGCGGCCAGCAGACTCAGCAATGCTACTAAGGTGCGACTGGCGCACACCTGATCACCGCACCAGTACTCACCTATTGAGATGTGGTCCTCGTCGCTCCAAAGATCAGCACACGGGCGACCGTCGAGACCTTCACCCCCCAGCACCGCGTCGGACGCCGTCCACCGTCGCTCGTGCCGCAGCCGACTGTCGGCTCACCACGGCCGTCCGCTGGGGCCGCGGGGAGTGGCAGGTACGGTCTCTGACAGTGGTACCCGGACAGCCCGACAGGCGCCGCCGAGGCTTCGGTGCGTGGCCATTGTGATTGCAGAGGTGCGGTTTTTGTGCCCCTGTCCGTCTGCCGGTGCCGGGCGACGCTCTGTGGAAAAGGGAGGAGGTCAGAGGCTGTCTCACCCTAACATGCATTGTTCCGGATCGAGAACCATATGTTATGGTAGGCTCAACTTGCTTATGTTGTCGAAAGAGAACAAGAAATAGAGAGAAATAGAGAAGGAGCAGGAGAGATGAACACACGAAGGTAAAAGGTGAGGAGTGACGGAATGAGACAAACAGAGGATGAGAGAGAGAGAGAGAGAGAGAGAGAGAGAGAGAGAGAGAGAGAGAGAGAGAGAGAGAGAGAGAGAGAGAGAGAGAGAGAGAGAGAGAGAGAGAGAGGATAAAGAGAGAAGAGAGAAGAAAGAGAGAGAGAGAGAGGGAGGGAGGGAGGGAGGGAGGGAGGGAGGGAGGGAAGGAATGAGAGAGAGAGAGAGAGAGAGAGAGAGAGAGAGAGAGAGAGAGAGAGAGAGAGAGAGAGAGAGAGAGAGAGAAGACAGAGATAGAGTGGGAGGGGGAGAGAGAAAGGAGAGAGAAGAGAGAGGAGAGAGCGAGAGGAGAGAGAGAGAGAGAGAGAGAGAGAGAGAGAGAGAGAGAGAGAGAGAGAGAGAGAGAGAGAGAGAGAGAGAGAGAGAGAGAGAGAGACCTCAGTCAGGGAACAACAGAGTTAGAGACTACGCACAATGCACAGCCCGGTGCCCCTTACCATTATGTAACGTAAGTATTGCACGCATGCCAATGCCTAGAGTAGCAGGGCAGGTGCAAGACATTCCCGGTGATTTCGAGGTGGCCGTGAGAGTTGTGCCTCACCAGTCAGCTGTTGAGATGCGCTGAGGTCTGAGCCATCAGCCAACACGATACCAGCGGCATCCCGCCGAGTGCCGAGCCGGGCAGATATCGTCACCGTCAGGTGTGGTATCCGAGTCTCGCATCGTCAGGGGTCAGGTGTTCCAGCAGTTTCAGGTGACCGCGCCGCGGTCACCTCAGGAATCCGCCCTGGTATGATCCGCAAGCAGGATTCAGCTTTCCCGAGCTATGTTAGATGTAAGCAGCCCGGGTCAAACGATCTCAACTGCGTCGTAGCTCTCCTATGAGCTCGTCTATATCAATAGAACTGCTGCATTGTCTATTTCATAGTTACGTGATCTTCATTAGTCACCATGGCTGAAAGCCCTGACAACCGTCCTGGGAGTCTGATCTCCGAGGCCTCAGCTGAGCCAATATCCAGGGTTTTGGTTCAGGGCCGTGGTAGCATTGTTCCCGATTCTAATCTGACTTCGGCTCCGGGGCCCGGGCTCCTGATGGCTTTGTCTCAGAGTCTGATTCCGATCACTCGTCACTGGTCGGTCCAGCGGCCAGCGGGTGGAAGTTCAAATCCTTTGGTTGGTCACCGACAATGAACGGCGCACCGTTCGTGGAGTCTGCGAAAAAATCACAACCCTACTGAGGCATCCCCGTTGCCGATCTTCTGTAATCTGTGGGAAAATGAACGGGACAGGTCAGGTCACGGAACAAACAAGAGATCGATAATGGCATTGAACAAACTAGCAAGCAGAGGCGCAAGGCGCAAGCCTCGAATGAACCGATAGAACGCATCGTCGCATCGGCATGTCCTTGATGCCTAAATGGAGAAGTTGTCGGCTAATCAAGGTCAAAGTCAGGTCAGCGAGGTCAGCGACCAGGGGCGTAGGCAGGGGGGGGGCCACTGGGCCATGGCCCCCCCCTTGGGCGCCAAAGGCGCCCTTTGCGATTGGAGGGCGCCGAAGGCGCCCTCCAATCGCAAATGCAATTGTGATATAATCGAATCGAAAAACAATCGCGACTGGAGGGCGCCCTCCAATCGCGAATGTGTTTACAGGGAAAATACGGATGGAGGGCGCCCTCGGAGGACGCCCATTCCAAATACGCCCTCCAAATCCGGTTGGAGGGCTCCCTCGGGCGCCCTCCAACCACATTTGTAGGCTGTAGCTCTCTAAGCGTAACGGTGGTCGGCTATGTAAGCCGCTGTCCTGTAAATAAGCGCCCTCTCACCCGAAGGCGCCCTCCTGTAGGTCGCCACCCTGCTACACATTGCCGCCCTTCTGCTGATCGGCGTCCTCATAATTATTGGCGCTCTTCTACCTATTGCGCCCTCATGTGAAATTTTGAAGGCCGCCTTTCTCCCTTTTGGCACCCTCTTGTTCAGTGCCGCCCTCCTACCTATTGGTTCCCTAGTCCTTCCTGTTGAATGCTAATCGGGGCCCTTCTCCTATTGGCGCCCTCGTGTTGATCGCCGCCCTCCTAACCACTGGCACCCTCCTGTTGATCACCGCCCTCCTATCTACTGGCACCTTCCTGCTGACCAGCGCCCTCCGCACAGACGCCGTCCTGTTCGTGTCATCCTCTTGAGCAAAGGCGCCCTCCTCACCATTGCCACCCCCATTTTAATCGTCACCCTTCCGCTCATTGGCGACTTGCAGTTGATGACCGCCCTCCCACCTATTGGCGACCTCTTGTTGATCGCCACCCTCCTATTGGTGCTCTCCTGTTCCTCGCCACCCTCTTACCTGGTGGCGCCCTCCTGTTGATTGTTGATCGGGGCCCTCCTACCTATTGGTGCCCTCCTGTTGATCGCTGCCCTTCTATCCATTGGCGCCCTCCTGCTGCTCGCCAACTTCCTACCTATCGGTGCCCTACTGTCGAAACTCGGGATGTTGATCGGGGCTCTTCTACCTATTAGCGCCCTCCTGTGGATCGCAGCCCTTCTACCTATTGGCAACATCCGTTGATCGCTGCCCTCCTATCATTTATTTACTCCTTTGGCATGTTCTTCAACTTAGTCGTTCTATTGCACATAGTTGATGTCTTGCCTGTGAAAACTGCCACAAATGAACGTGCATTCAGCACAATGAATGAAGTACCTACCTATACCTACCAAAACTATCTACGCTCTACGATGCATAAAACACGTCTTTGGTCTTAACGGATTGATCCTACTTTACGTGCATCATGGCAGGGGCGGATCCAGCATTTTGCCAAGGGAGGGGCTATTCCGAATCGGGGGCCCCCCATCGATGGGGGCCCTACCTACCCCCAAAAGTTTAAGCCTGGATTTCGTCCACTTTATTTTTGGGGGCCCCCTATCATGCTTTTTTTTGCAAAAAAAAAAAGAAAATGAGAAAGTCGCCCGGGGGGGCGCTATAGTCCCTATCGCCCCCCTGGATCCGCCCCTGCTAGGAGGCCTTGTATGTGAACTAGGAAGCCCTCTGTGATAGCTAGGAGGCCCTCTGTGCAGATGCGAGCGCAGGCCCTCAGTACAGACTTGGAGACCCTTTGTGTGGATGCGAGTGGAGGCCCTCTGTGGAGATTAAGAGGTCCTGTGTTGGCGAAGAGGATATCTGTGCAGGCTTGGAGTCCCTCTGTGCAGGATAGGAGACCTTCTGTGTGAGTTAGGAGGCCCTCTGTGTTGGCTAGGAGGCCCTTTGTTCGGATGCGAGTGGAGGCCTCTGTGTAGGCTAAGAGATTTTGTGTTTGTTAGGACATCTGTGCAGGCTTGGAGGCCCTCTATGCAGGTTAGGAGGCCCTGTAAAAGTGGTCATCTCTGTGAGTATAAGAGACCTCCAAGTTATGAAAAGCTTTACCAATCTTCTAACAAAGAAGTCTTCTCAGCTAGTCTTCTAAGAAATAACTAGGTGGGTAGGTTAAAAAAAAAACTCATCGGATTTCGGCCACTTTATTTTCAGGAGGCCCCCTTTTCAGCTTTTTAACTTTTTATTTTATTTTTGAAAAAAATCGTCCAAGGGGGGGCCATGGCCCCCATGGCCCCCCCCTTGTATCCGCGCCTGCATCATGGCATCTATATGTATTACGATTAAGTATTGTCAACAGGTTCGGCCGCAACAGCAGGCATCTGAAGTTTCGGTGATTGAAACTGGTTATGTGGGTACACTGTATGCACCTGTGAGAAGGCTATGAAGGCTGGTCTGAGGTAATTTGGATGATGTTTACGCATCTCGCGCTCCGGTATCAATCCGATACGGTGATCTGGTGCGTAGATATGCCACCGCCAATAAACTTTTATACATCGACACCCATGAGCCAAGCTTTCTATACAGTTTGTGTGGCAGTGGCCCGACCAAACCTTAGGTATTTTTTATACCTTCAAATTTGGTAAAAGAGCGAGAGGAGCTTTGAACACTGATCGTATAAAAGGCGTGCCTAAAAAGCGGAGGAAAAGGTTGTTTTCAAAAATTTCGCGCGCCTTCGGCGCAGCATTTCAAGACCACTTGACCTTTTGTGACCTGGAGTATAAAGAATACACACGATGCAAAATCAATGCAGCACGACCTATACGAGGTTACGCAAAAAAAAACTGGTGGCATGGTAAAAAACGCCTCCCAACCCCCCCCCCCCCCCCCGTTGAGTGATTTTTTATCTCGCGACCGTATGGCGCCCTCCTTGGGTGAGGTGGCGCCCTCCAAACCCTTGGCCCCCCCCTTCGCGATTTTCTAAATACGCCGCTGTCAGCGACTATGTTTATAACTTCCAGCATTGTCTCACGCCTGAACGTCAAAATTACAGGTCGCAATAGAGAATATAGATTCTTCCAAAGCCAGATTCTTCGAGACAGTCTCTTTTCGCCTTTTACGAACCTTACACATTACACAAGACACGGCGCGAATTTTATCCCCAGTCCTGGTTCGATAACATTGATACCTCACTGTCCTCAACCGTGGGATAACCGTCATGCCCCGATAGGCGTTATCACAAGTGTATTCGCGGCCATTGGGGCGACGTAAGAAAAGAAGAAAACAACTGGCCCCAAGAACTTTAAATTATCAGTTAGCATGCACCTTTTCCTTGATATGTAGAGAATTTACCATTAATCGTTAGAGAAAATTGCATTTAAAATCTTCCATTTATGCTTTTTTCATCGTTTGCAAAGTATGTTCTTTTACTAAGCTAGAAACACTAATTAGAAATAGTTCCCGCATCATCAAGAACAATAGGGAAGGCTTGAAGTGAATACAATAATCTGAACGGTTTTGTAATCCATGTGGAGACACTTCTAAAATTGCCTGTAGAAATATTAAAGTCAAAAGTTCAACGTTTTCACAAGACGGATGGCTATAAACCAATTCAACGTGTGACAACTCAGCCGGTATTTCGTCGCCTACAGCCCAGCTTTCCCTAGTGACCGATAGAGGCGCTGTTATCGATGTCCGCCCGTGCCGCCTAACGCGATGCCGTGAGGCGTGAACCGTTTTTTTCGTCACAAACTTTGACCGCACAGGCATAGACACAATACTAACTTGTCTCATACGAGCTTTATCCGATTCAAATTTCAGTAGGTATCATGATATTCGTCTTCAAGCTGAACCGAACCTTCACTAACGATTCGAATATTTTAAAACAAGAGTTAGGTATCTATTCATCTACAAGTCTTGTACTTACGGAGTACGGATATCTGTCCCTGCGATCCTGGCAACGACCGAGCCCGCGCGCTTGACTTTACGGGTTTTCGGGAAACCGGAAATGCCGGAAACCCGCCGGCGGGCGGCGCATGCGCAGGAAATGCCATGACCTTGAAAAACAGCTGGCCGTATTTGACTACGAGTACGCCGCAAAATGCCACGTGTCGTGCGCTTGGTCGTGCGTGTTGTGGCGGGCGCGGACGCGGTAAGGGTGATATTACTTTACTAAATTGAGATTACGAGATTGAGATTGAGAGACGAGATTGAGATTGAGACGCAGGAACAATAATATGTCATTGCGAACGCATCCACGCATCCAGACGCATTACACAGGCGGCAGCTCTAGCCTCGAGGTAGGTGCGGAGGAGCTCTTTCTTTTGTCATCATTTAGCTAGTTTTCTTGTTGAGGAACTTTGAATGATCCATGGACCATGTCAATTTTGATATGCGGCTGTGTCATCCTTGGCCTTGTGTCTCGTACCTAAGTCGTAGAACAGCCCAGATCATCGCAAATAACTTACGAGCGAGGCCGATTCAATCTAGGATGAATAATTCCATTTTCAGCACAGTTTTTATTTTGTCGGGACTAGGTACTCAAATCGGGGAAATTCGAGCTCTGACAGTGACGGGCTTCTAGGGGCCGACGCCATTCGGCATTTGGCGAGTGAACCAACTAACTCCATTATGTAGGAGTTCTCGCTAGAGAAAGGTCCAGGTGAAGGTAGCGGGAGGGTGTGGCGTGGCGGAAGGGAAGGAATGGAAATCTTTCGGCACTCACACTGCCATTCCAGTCCACTGCCAGTTCTGGGGCAATAATATAGCTCAACAACTACCGGACTCATAGAGACCATTAGGTATATGACCTTGATCGAGACGAAGTGTCGTTCTTTTCTCTGTATGAGAATGCATGAGTCATAAGTCGTTTCAGTTTCAAATATGACCACTCCTTGCAAGAGTCTAGGGCCTCACTTTTGCATTGTTGACCTGGCGTGGCGTCGACCAGCTTCTTGACCTGATCAGGTCTCTCGAGAGGCCTTACCCTGACCTTGACTTGAAGTCAGCAGCCTACAAATAAATACGTCCTTTCTTTTTGCAGCCTACAAATGAAAACTATTCGTTCGACGTGCGTGGTTATGACAAACACGGTTATGGCGAAGTTACGGTTCTGTTATCATTCTTTGGCGAAGTTATTCACTTCAAAGTGAAAATCTAGCCACTTTCGTTCGGTCCCTTGACTTGACCTCAGTGAACGTATTCAATAACAGGGTTAAGTGTAAGGGTAAAGGGTAAGGGTGAACTGGGGTTTCGGTTATCCTCAACTTAACCTCAAAAAGCTTTACTTGAAAAAGTTGTTCCAGGGTAAGAGTAGAGTTTTTTTGTGAGTTTCAGATCTGATAAATCAGGCATGTAATCGTATGAGTCGCTGCTTCTCGTAACGCAAGATTACTTTATAAATATCGTAACGGTGCATACGCTCGTTTTTTCCTACGTACAAGCGGTTACAAGCAAATGCCTGTGATTGGATTACTTTCAAATGCAGCGTAAGAAATGCACTCCCAATCATATAAAACGACATAAAATAAAAGGAAATGAAAGTCAGCCTGAATAGGTGGGTACTCAACTCATTATTCCTAAAAACGACCAAGCTTCAGCAACGACTGTTCCGATCCAGGCATAAAAAGTACAAACACATTCATACAAGTACAAACACACAGGTATATTGCCAAAAATGTTCCCATCTTGCATCCAGGCAATACGGCATGTGCAACGAAAGAACCACGCCATTCGTTGCGGTAACGGAAAAACAGCGCAACTGTTTCCATGGCACACTGCTCAGAATCCTACAATCCTACTACAAAATAGTACTCTCGATCGGTGTAACCGCAGACAAGTGCGATCGTAGACCCTGCAAGCACACACAGACAACCATTCTGGGCGGATAATTTCATTGGCGTCGGATAATATCTCTCCGAGGGAACTGCGCCGCCGACCGGCGACGCCTCTGATCTCGCCATTCATTTGTACTTTACTGTCGATACCTGATAAGCTATTTGGTACAGTACGGTATAAATGAGCCAGCAATGTGCATCTTGTGGCGCAACAGTCAACACGAACATCTCAACAGTACAAATAGACGCGGAATACAATCGACATAAAATAGATACTTTGCCAATATTGTCACCAATATAATTACAGTGATTGAGCACATGGAACGGCATAGCGAGTCTGCTGGACGGATGAACCCTTCACAACACACAGGGGCGCAAACCACAGCCAGCAAAACGCAGCTCGATAAAGCAATCTGGAGTGTAGGATAATATTAATAACTATATCGAGTGGGTAGCACTCACGGTGCCAGCTGCCAATCACAGTGCCGCCGTCGGCAGCGCTGTTCCGACTCTGGCACATGGGTGGGCGCCGGTCGGCGGCCTAGTAGTGTGCGGACCGGCGCAGCCGATCGTCCCTGGGGCCCGCGCCGAGGCCGGGGTGCACCAGGTGGCCGCTGTGGGTCCGGCCCGGCAGCCACTGGCCGTGCTGCTCGGCCCAGGGCGGGCCGCCACCCCAGTCAGCCCGCTGACCGACCGACGGCGGCCAGCCCGCCGGCGACGGTCGGACCTGGCCCTGCCGCGGCGGCAGAGGCGGCACGCGCGCCGGCACGTACTCCGGGTACACGTAGCCGTGCGACATCGTCTCCACCGCCGGCCGAGTCCCGCGCGGCGCTGGCTGCCCGAAGCCGTCCGCCACCGGCGTCCAGCCGGTGCGCTCAGAGCCCGACCTGACCCGGCGCACCGCCGGCTGCCGCGCGCCCGGCTCGCCACCCGGAGAGACGTACCGCCGGCGCAGCCGCTCGGTGCGCGCCGACTCGCGCTCGGCGAACGCCGCCAGCTCGTCGGTCTCGGCGCCGGCGCGGCCGTCCGTCGACCCGTAGCCACTGTCGCCGGAGCCGGCCGCGGGCGGGACGGCCGGCGTCGGCTCGGACAGGACGTCGTCAATATCGTCCAGGGAGTACGAGCTGCGCGAGTCGCGCGACCGCTGCGAGCCCAGCGAGTCCTTGGAGTCGGCGGAGGAGGCCGCCGAGTGGCGCGCTCCGGCGCCGGTCTGCGGCGAGGCGCGGTCCCAGCCGACCACCTCCGGGGTGCTCCAGCGGCTCGGCGGCGCGGCCACCGTCGGACGGGCTGCAGCGGGGCCCCGCGCCGCCGACTGCTCCCTACCCTCAGGGAGGCCGTGGTGCGCAGCTTGCAAATACTGCTGAGGGGTCTGTTGGTGGGACTGCTGATACGTGTGCCTATAAGTCTCCTGCGAGGTGTGGCGGTAGTTGTGCGGTGGGGTATTCTCATAAGTCCTCTGAAGCATGTTCTGAGGATTTTCTTGATAGGTTTGAGGGGTCTGTTGAAAGCTGTGAGGTGAGGTTTGCCCATAAGTCTCCTGGAACCGGTGTTGGATAGTCCGCTGAGGAGTCTGCTGAGGGATCTGATGATAGGTCTGCGGAGGAGGCTGATAAGATGCTTGCTGGAATGTATGTCGAGCTTGCTGAAAGGAATGCTGAAGTTGATGAGTATGTGCTGCTTGCGGCTGTGACGGCTGGCCTTCTTGTTGTGCACTTTCCCTGAAGAGCTGCTGAGCAGCATGAAGTATCCTGGCGTCCGCCACGGCCCCCGGAGAGCGACCGGGCTGCCGTGGCGACTGGCGCGTCCGTGAACCGACGGCCCCCGACTGCTGCTGTCGGGGAGCTGCCGCCGCACTACCAGGCTGCTGGCTGGACGGCGCACTGCTCAGCCCGTGGATAGGCCGCTGTCGCTCCGGCTCTATTTCCAAAGCCCGGGGCGCTGGCACCGGAGGTGGGGCTGCAGACGGTGGTGCGACAGAAGAGGGGAAGAGTGGAGGTACTGACGGCATGGCCGGTGCCCAGGAGGGTGATGGAATATTACCAGGAGCGGCGTGAGGTACTGAGGCCGGGACAGTCGTTAGGAAAGGCGCTGGCACAGAAGCTGGGACTGGTGGAGGGGCTGAGACAGGAACAGGATGTGACGGAGGCGCTGATACAGGAACTGGGGCTGACTGAGGTCCTGGAACAGGCACAGGAAGCGGTGAAGGTTCCGGGACAGGCTCTGTGACTGATTGGGGCGAAATAACTGGAGGGGGCGTTGGAGGAGGAAACAGCGTCTCACTAATTTTCCACTCACGGACATCACGCGGCACTTCGATATCCAGAGACGGAAACAGGAAATCCCGGAAGGATGACTGTCGCCCGTAACCTTTCACTGACAACGGAGCCTTATCAAGGTCGCCATCGAACGACTGCCGACCTGGCGGCGCAACGGAAGCGCCGGCGTGAGGATTAGCTGTCATCTCCGCCGACCCGCCGGCCACCTCACCGGACCTCTTTTCGCCGGCGTGCACTAGACTGCGGCGCAGAGAGTTCTGCTCGATGGCACGAGCCACGTCCGCACTGGTTCGGCCGAGCGGTGAGCCCAGCGTGAGCTGCGCCAGGGCGCGCTGCTCGCCGGTAAGCTCGGTCTCGAGCTGTGGCGATGGCCGCGCGCCGCTGCGGGCGACCACCGTCTCCAGCGAGGACAGGCTCGACTCGCCGTCACTTTCGGGAGCGGGCGGCGGCGGCGGCGGCGGCAGGTGACGAGGGGCCGGCTCCGGGGGCGCGCGACCCTCAAACCGCACCGAGCGGCCGCGGCCGCGGCGCGGCTGACTGTCGCCACTGTCGTCGGATTCGGCGCCGCGCCCGCCGGCCCACAGCCGTCCGCCCTTCAGGATGCCGCCGAGCACGCCGTGCGCCCGGCTGTCGGCGATCTCCATCACCCGGTCGTGCTGCTGCACGTTGGCGATGGTGAGCACGGAGCCGGCCGGCGGCGACGGCGGCTGGTCGGCGGCCGCCGCGCGCGCTCCGTCCGACACCAGGTCCGGCAGGTTGCGCCAGTCGGGGGCTCGCGGGGGCTGGGCGCTGCACGCCTCCGGCGACGGCGAGCGGGCGTCGGAGCACTCATTGGCGGCGGGCTCCTGCTGCCCTGGCCGTATTTCCACCGGGCTCGGCGAACGTTCTTTCAAATCACACACTACCTCCGACTCAGCACTCTCACTGTTATCGTTGGTGACATCGTTTGCTGCCTTTTGCGTACATTCCTGCGTTTCTTCCCCAGCGGCCCCGTCTTGCGGACTGACTGATACGCTCTGCTCAGATGGCTGAGGGTCCACCGGCTCTGCCGTGTCGCCAGAGGAGGGTGTGACGCTGCTGACCTCCGGCTCTTTCGCGGGCGGCTCGGCCGGCGTCTCCAGGGTTATGTCGTCGTCGAGTCGTGCCAGCGGTGCAGGCCCGGCCAGCTCCTCCAACGTCTCCATGCTGCATTCTGAACCTGCGGCACACACAGACACAGATATTGTTAGTCGGATTGGAAAGAGATTGTCCGTTGTTTGGTCAGCAGCGAGCTTCGATCGGTATTCGCAAACTGTATGTGCTCAACAAACAAATATTGGCTGGTAGTAATCCACAAATTGAAGGCTATATGGTGCCCAATATGGCTTCGGTTTGATAACCTACCGGGGGTCGGGCAAATGCCCCTTTGAAAACGTCAGGTCAGGTAGGAATAAGTGAAGACAGCATTCGAAATCTCGTCCAATTATTCTAGGAAAAGTAAACGAAAGGGATAGCGTTCGAAATTTCGTGCAGGACATCCAACTTGATTGATTCTGTTCTGGTTACGACTCAAGTCAAAATAAACTCCCGACGGGGTCGTTTCAGTCTGCCTACCTTCGGAGTCGTCGACGGGCGTCTCCTGCAGCTGCTCCCCGCCCTCGGCCACTATCCGATCGAAGGCGTCTGCGCCGGCAGTCTGGCAGGTGAGCACCTCGGGCAGGTGCAGGCTGAGCGCGCGCACCAGCAGCGGCGCCGGGCCCGCCTCCTCCCGCTCCACCGCCGCCTCGCAGTAGGTGTTGCGCGACTCGTTGATCACCACCTGGAGACGTCGGCGGGCCGTCCCCTTGCGCAGCGCTGACTTGAGGGGCGGCCGCGCCGCCGGCGTGCCCTGGTCTCGGTCCGGCGAGTCCCGCGACTCACACCGCTCCGCATCTGGGGGCGGTGGTGCGGCGCCGGTACCGGCCGGGTCGCTGCCGTCACTCTCGTTGGCCGCACTTTCGCTGAGAGCGTCGATGAAGGGGACGTCCGCCAGCGCCGGCGGCGGCGCGACCGCCGGTGACGCCGTCGTGTCGACACTCGCCATGTCGGTGATGCGAGAGCGCAGACTTCAGCGGCGATCGGGGCGCCGCGAGCCCGGAGTCGGCTGGGGAGCCTTCATCGTCGCTGTCCAGCGGCTGGGACTGCGTCACTGAAACACAGGGCAGACAGACACTCATGTATAACAGTCAGGAGTCCCCTGCCTTTCTCATTCGCCCTTGCCTTTCTCAGGACTAACCCATCCGCATCCTCTCTCTCGCTACTCTTTCCGAGCAGGCGATTGCCTTGCTCCACCATACAACTGGTGGTGAGGGCAAATCCACATCAGGACTACACCCTCTCCGAGGTGACCGTTTGAGCGATAGAGCGGGCTATCCCAACTGAACACCTCCGTTACGCCGGGAGGGCCGCTGGCGCTGTGGCACACTGTCGGTGGTCCGCACAGTCCGATGGGCGATGTCTACACCCTATTTTCTCAGAATTCTGCAATGGCCTCTTCAGGCCGGAACAACTTAATCCCAACAAAACAAACAGACGTGCCTTTTGAAGTTTAGCTGACGGCTCCGTGTCAGATGACACTTGCCCGCCATCATAAGGAGTTAGTTACTTGTGCAACCAACTTGAGCATTCCTTCAGTACCACATTCCTTCAATTGTTCTGTGCTTCTTAGGAAAATAATTCTAACGGAGTAACAAGAGGATCAAGAGGATAGACCACGCAGGGACACGCCCGGGAGCCCTGATCCGTGCTCAGGCTCAGGCTCTTCATCACTCATCAGCCACTGCAGGGTATGGGCTGGTGACAAGTGTCGCTTTGCGCCTCCGATTAGTGCGAAAAGTGAAACGTGTGAAGAATCCGGAAAAAGTTGTGGGAACCAGAGACTCGGGAGTCGGGAGCTTCCTATTACTTACTATGTCCCAAAATCCAACTCGACTTGAAAATCTAGCTCGACTTTAATCTCGTTTTGGCCTAATTTTAGCCCTTTTCTCTAATGCAGCTGAAGTAATCGCAGAAAGTCAGGGCTGGCAGTGGCACCAATGCCCAACCCAATCGGCCGGTGAGGGTCCCTTTCGGTGCTTCTTGGCATCAGGAGCTAGTCATGTTTGCCCGTTCACCGTTCGCCAAGGTTACAAATAGCCGGGTCCCGAAAACGGTGAATTTAGGTAGGTATATTTTTGTTGACGAGAGGTTGTTGCATTACGGATCTTTCATCAAATTCGCCTGCACAGCGCTGACACCGCGTGTGAAAGATGGCCTTGCTTTTTATTGTTTCACATCATTCGACTGTTTCTACTTTCTATTGTGCTTTGTGTTTGTTGACCACAATGTAACATTTTACCTCCTGATTTCCCATTCATACATGTATGCGAAAAAAGGACCTAACGCTTTTGTTCATTTAACCCTCGCCCATGTAGGGGGGGGGGGGTTGGTGCACCCCCTCCCCCCTGAGGCTTTTCGGAAATAGTGCAAAAACGGCGGCGCGCAGCGCCGCCAAATTTTGGGTACCTTATGGGGCAAACCTTGCGCATCTTTTGATAAAAAAAATTTGACCGGGTCATGTCAGGTCACGGAGTTATGACGTCACAAAGGGAACAGCCTCCGGCCGGATTTTCACAAACTGAGTGCCAACGACCGAGGTTTCCTGCCGGTGGTACGGACATCGGTTGATGGATCGTGATGAAACTTCCCATGCATGTTGGGGCAAGTATTGGCTATCATATGGTATAAGAAACTTGACCGGGTCAGGTCAGGTCACGGAGCTATGACGTCACAAGAGGAACAGCGTCCGGTACTATTTTTGAAAAGCGCCCGAACCACTATTTTGCTAATTCTTGTCACCTCAATGGGAATATGCAGCAATATTAGCTTCTATAGGGAGCAAATGGACCTCCCAAATCCAAAAATACAATGAGATTTCAAACATTTAAATTTTGATTTTTCGAATTTCTGCCGCCGACTGTGACCTTGCCGACTTCCGGCGCTCCCAACGCGCCATTTTTAGAGCTAGGGAACGAAATTCATAACAAACGATAGAGAATTGATCAAGGAACACGATAGTGAAGGTTTCAAGTCGATATCTCCCACCGTTTTGCCGCAATCGCCGCGGAAAGTTGAAAAAGTCTATTTTTTCCTAAAATTTGACCTTTGACCGGTCAAAAGTAGGTCAAATGTTGACCTAGGACCAAAAAATATACCACCAATCGCGAGATCTCGTTGAGAGCAATCCGTTGGTTTTTTCCGCTAAGCTCTACGACGCTCCGTTTTCAAACGCCAAGGGGGGCTCGCACCCCCCCCCCCCTGCATGGGCGAAGGTGGCAGATCGCCGTTTACGGGCGAGGGTTAAAATGCTATGGTATCAAATGTTTTTAAATCAAACTAGAAAGGCGCACTCGTTATCCACCGGCTACTTTAAAACCATTGTGGTCATTGTCAGGCACTTTCTGCAGAACTCGCATGGGCCCTCAAAGGCAATCGTTTCAGTTAGGACCCCAAGAGTTGTTAGGCCCCCAGCTCCAAAGACCGTCTTTGAGAGCTTCACGCCGGCCTTTGAAGGGTCCCAAGCAAGCCCCTGAAAGCCCGGTTAGTCCCCAAAGACTAGTGATGTCAGTTATGAAAAATCGTGATACCGATAGGTACCAAACCAGATGCCAACAATACCCATGGAAAAATACCGAAACCGAACCGACTTGGGAATATGAGGGAAATACCAACTTTTTACCAAAGTCTCATCCTCCTTTACATTGGTGAAGATTCATAATACCAACAAAATACCTAATGCATTCGCCTTAAAATACCAAATGCCAAGTTGGTATCAGTTTGGTATCGGTATACCAAAAAGTTGGTATCCGATTGACATCTCTAATAAGGACCCAAGTAACTCTCCAGTTCCCAGTTTGTGATAAATGAAATTCTGAAGGGCAGGTGGGTAATAATTGAACGCTATCGGTAGCAAAAGTTTGAAGACCATGTTGTCATGTCTCGTTGTTACCGAAAGTAACTTTTACGATTGGCGAAGTTACTCTCCTATAAAAGGCTTGCGAAATGCGTTCAAACTTTCTCTATTTCTCTTTTGATAATGCTTGTCATCTGTTTTCTAATGAACCAAGACCCTATTGATAATTGGATTAGCCATTTGGACTATTGGACAATGGACAATATCGTCACTACTTCCGACTCGTTTCATAAACCAGGGGTGTGATCACGACAGACCGATATCGGCTCCCTCTGAATGAATGTCTGTCTTCGGTCCCTCTCGTATCAGCTTGGAGTTTGGACGACCAATTCAGTTGAATTGAGTTGCGCCACCGCCTCGCGGGTCGCAAAAGGGCCGTTTCGATCTGGCTTGGGTGCTGTAATATTCAGGCCCTCTCAGTCATCAGGCGACGGCGGCGTCATCCCTGTCACCGGCGAGGGGCCTCTCGCACCACAGCGACATGCCCTTTTGGGAGGCCCTCTCAGGTCAGCTGGTAACAGTGAAATAGGAATACTAACTACCATGTGCCCTTCTCGGCCGACACACGGCTCTCACAAGCAAATATTACAAACGAATGACATTCCATGGCATTACAAATTACAATACATTTCCATACTGGCGCTAGGGCGTCCGTGGTCTCGAGCGTCACGGGTCTCTCCTATTTGGCTGCGCACTTGGCCGGCCGCTGTAATACATTGAAGATACACGAGTAACAGGGCGGTGCACTCCCCAGCTACTACGCGGGTGAAATGTGGTGGCGACAGATCACAGAATCTGGGGAAAGCTCAGGTTTGCATTATCCTATTATAACGACAACGAAAATATTAGAGTTTGAGTTGCACGATAAAACACACAGTCATAATGAGACATAAAACACGGCCATCTGTCCCCAGGTCGGTAGCCGCAGCTGGAGACGGGAGAGAGGCCGCGCGGCCGCCGCGCCGGGGCCGTGGCCGCCGCCTGCCAGCCACCGCCTCGGCGCTGCCCGCCGTATCGCAGCCACTTTACCGCTGGCGGACGGCCCGATCCGGCGGCACCACCGACCCCAGCTGGACCCGTCCGCAAAACTCACCTCTTCTAGAAGCTGCTCCTTGAGAAATGTGTACGGACGAGTGAAGAGAGTACGAGCGGAAACCGACCAGCCACGAACTGACCACTCACGTATGCGTCGCGTCAACTGACGCCACGGCGCGAAGACGCTGACTGGGTGCGGCCTTGAACGCTGCCCTCCGGCTACACGGTGAGGCTCGGATCTAGAGGTACGGGGTGACTGCTGTTGGATGCACGTGCACTAAGGGGTGAAAGCGAAAAACTGCATGGGGACTAACACAACTACGTACCCGGGGCTGAGTGATTGGGTTTTTCTTGAACAGTGAGGGAGAAAGGGATATACACACACACACACACACACACACACACACACACACACACACAATGTTTATTAAGGAACCAAACATACATAAGAAATAAAGCATAATCAATGAAACATACAGTACAATAATTAACAACATAAGCGTGATAGCAGAGTGGTGCAAAAGCGCAATCGCTTGACTCGAGGCACCACTCTGAAACATAAGATAAAACATGTGAAACAACCGCCGCCGCCGCTGGCCAGTCGCTCATGAGCGGTAAATTTTGATGGTTCCAACAGCCGCCTAGCTCACGGGATCGCATGATGAAATTTTGAATAAATCAATTGATTACTTCGAAAATCTGCTTGTTTTAGTTAAAAAGGTTTTGGAAGATGTATGCCATATCACGACTGCCCTCGCCACTCAAGCGATGTCCGTGAATTAGCATGTTGAATTTCCGGTCAGGTGAATAGTTTGCAAAATTCTCTCCGAGAATACGAGAAGCGTTATCGATTAGTTCTTTTCTTTGGGCATCATAATTTTGGCAGAATAGTACGTAGTGACGTACATCCTCTTTGAAATGACCACAAGAACATTCAGGCGTATCTGTTTTGTTGATTTGAAATAGATGTGAGTTTAAGCAAGACATATCAGTTCTTAATCGGGTATGTTCCCGATATAGGCAGGTGGAGGGGGGGGAGAGGGAGGGAGCCGGCTTCTTGTAGGAAATAAAAGAGAGTTGAAAATTGGGCACTAGACACTATAACTGCTATTGGACCGCCGTTCCATGGCGTACGACCTCTTGACATATGTCAAGAGGTCGTTGGGGTGATATCACCCCAAACTGACCCTCAATTGCGCGGTAGAAAAGGAGGCCCAGCTTATGCAATTTGCATGTTTATGCAATACACATGCGTCAAATCCCCATCCCGCATCCGTCCCTCTTACGCTTCCCGATCCGGGGTGGCGGTCACCCCCCACTGCAGGCAACCGGTGGTAAGGGCAATTGCTCATTCGACTACACCTTTTCCAGGGTGACCGTTTGAGCGGCACAGCACGTTATCCCAACGGGACACCCCTGTCCCACCGAGACTGTCTGCCGCTGCGGCGCACCGTCCGCGTCGGTGGTCCGAGTGGTATTGGCTCCAGCCTCCACAATTATTCTACCATGAGCTCTGCAATGTCTTTTCAGACCGGAAAAGCTTATTTCGACAACTGACAAGCAAAGACCCATGCGATAATTTTTAATTTTGGGTAGACGGATGGGGCTTTGCAACCGAGGGCCCTGTTTCCGAGCTACGCCCTACTAATCCGGTATTATCCAACCCCTAAGCTTCTCGTCCCTCCTCCAAGCTCGAGGTGCTCGGCAGCCATCCTGCAGGGCAAGAACTCAACTTACCGATCGAAATTAAAACACCACCAGCCGATTCGCCGCTAGCTACCTATATCATGAACCGTTTTGAATATGGTGACCTGCCCTCAGGTGACCTCGGCGGTGAGCTTAAAAGTTCGGCTCGGCGATTTCGCTCACAGTAGCTATCATATGGTTCCGGAGACCGGAACGGAACTACTTGGCCGATCGTCACGAAAACGCCACCAATTGATTCTCCGTGTGTGTGATTTCATCAGTTGGTATGAATATAAGAGTGACCTCAGGTCACCTTATTCTCAGTAGTGTCGATTTATAGGATTGCAGCCATATCAAGCGGAACCGTCAAGCTGACCTAGGTCATCGAGGTCACCTAAGGACTAAGGTCACAATATTGAAGACGGCTGATGAGTTCCCATATGGCGAATCGTCGGGCGGCGTTTTCGTCTCGATCGACCCGTTGTAGTTCCTGAACTGAGAACTTTAGGCTGTCATATTATAGGCGAAAACGCTCCAGTGAAGTGTCAAGTGACGTCCCATGCTCACCATGGGTCACCTGATGGCATTATAATTGAAATAGCTGATGCAATGACATGCGGCGAGCCGGCTTGTGGTGTTTTCGTTTCGATCAACCTGCAGTGGTTCCTGAGTTACTGGATGGCTGACCGCAAAATCGTCAAGCCGGTCACCAAGGTCGCCATATTTGTCACTGCTGGTGGAGTGGCCTACCTTGGGCATACCGTGATTCGGATTGGAATATTCTTTTTTGTATCGATCAGCCCAATGGTTCCTAAGTTGTAGCAAGGCTATAGAGTTGTAGAATGCCTACAAAGGTGGCGGCCAAGCCGAGTAGTGTTGTCCAGTTCGCCTGGTGCTTGCTGTATTATGGATGGTTATTATAGAGCATTGAGGTCGCAAGGTCACCAAAAATTAAAGAACTGATGTGAACATATTCAAAATAGATGTTAAAATTGTATTCCACGCTCCAATTAACGTCTTCTTATTTTCCAATGTGTCGGTGCCCGGTGGTTTTATGATTGGCATGGCTGCGAGTGAAGCTGTGAGGTTGGCAGTAGTCGGCAGTAATATAGTGTTGTTAGTGTTGTGCTTATTTTCGTCATCCTTGATCGCTCGTTTTGGTTGCCATTTATAGCGCGGTGTTGCGGGATGGTGGCGCGTTGAGTGACTCGTTCAAGGCCCTATATACCAGGTAGGGTCGTCCGGCGATTCTACCTTTTCGTGACGTCAGCTCGTGACGTCATTTGGAGTCAAGTCTCGAAGCCCCGTTCAATCCCCATGTAAATGAGCGATTTTCGAAGCACTGTAGTATGAAGTCTGCACAAGATATATCAAACCTAAGTATCTTATCTGAAAGAGCAGACAATTTTCTGCAAGTTATCTATTACGTGTTTTTCGCTAAATCTTTTGCTTTTTTCACAAAAGTGTAAAATGTCCCCCCATGTCTCCGCAGCCTCCCTGCCGCCGGCCGCCGCGCGGTCGCGGTAGTGTAGTGGTTAGCGTGCCCGCGCAGTATTCCAAAGGTCCCGAGTTCGAATCTATGCGGTGCGGAACTTTTATTGCAATACCAAGCTGAATATACGCACATCCATAATAAATTATTATTCGTATAGCTAAACTGTCACCAAACTATCCATATAAATTGACTTCACCCAAAATATCGGCAAGATTCTATTAAAATATCAATTCAAATATGGCGGCTTGGACTGCCGCGTGCGTTAGGCTCCGCCCATAGCTCCGCCCACATGCGTGACGTCATTCGTGTTAGTGGACACGCGCGGAGATAGGGGACGACATGGGCCTGGACTCGTTTGAGTTTTTTTTTTAATAAATTATTATTGTTAATTTTTGTTTTTTAATTTTAAAATCATCCCGAGGTCTAAAATAAATATCTCTATCTTGTGGCATTCAAATTGAGTTTTGTTTGCCGTTAGTGGCTACCTACATTAGAGGCCAAGGCCTGGAAGAGGCCATTCGATTTATAAATTATAGGTGTGCACCAGCGTCTTCTGTTTCAAATATATGTACAGTTAATGCATTCGATTCAATTTTATTTAATTAATTGAATCATTAAGTTTGAAGTGTGAAAACGTGCCCTGTTGATAATTCTACTGCGTCCTGTTTGATGGCTTACGACCTTAGGTTTTATGCGAGAGGCTAAAGCCCAAAGGCCTGTAGTAATCCACTCCAGTCCAGTTTGTGAGTGACAGTGTTAACTGTTAGGTAGGTACTTTCCGTATGGTAGGGCCCGTCGGGGCAGGGTGAAGTGGAGGTGTCACTAGTGAGACTGATCTTTGTGGAATGTGAACGTGATTTGGATCTGGTACCTACTCAGTGCCTTTAACACTGGCCAGCTTGATATAACCTGCACTCAATTTCATTTCTTTGATTCCTATTCATTTCTATGGTTCATCTAATGCCATATTTGAAATTATTGGTGCACTTGATTTTGAATGGTTTTGACAGGCATTAAAAAATCAAATTATATCAGGTAATGATGCTTGACATCCATGAACACACAAGTGAAATTATATGCTAACCAGGTAGTTGTGGGTAGCTGCATGCTGTAATGCAAAGTCCTGTCAAATGATTTTGGATGAAACCATTTTATTTTATTTATTATGTTGCGTGAATGCTTAGGTACATATTTGATGCCCAACTTCAATTTCATGTAGATTATCTTGCTAAAACATGTTATTCTTATTATTGATAAGATGCTTTCTGAGTGCTTTTCTCCTTTTGCACCCTAAAAAAGCATGAAAAGAAAAAAACATCCTTGTAAGTTGTAAGGCTGAAAAGTGAGACCACACATTAATGCTTTGGATACATTTTACAGAAAACACAAGTTACACTGAACCACATATTTGGTCAGGTAAGCTCAGGTAAGCTCAGGTTGGGTAAGCTTATGTTATGTTAGGTAAGGGTAGGTCAGGTTAGCTGATGTTTTGCTATTTCTGCTTCTATTTTACCTGATTTTTTTTTTTTTAGCAGTGCTGCCTTCTGACCTTTTGTTACTGGTCTGACCTGGTCTGACCTTTTGTTACTTCTGACCTTTTGTCACTTTACAGAACACAAACAAATATAATTGAGTAATTAATTTATCCATTATTTTGTATCAAGCATAAGGAATGGCTCATTCTGGCATCAGCACTAGAGAGAAGATCCTTGGACTGATTGATGATATTGAACTAATATCAAGGTGAGTTGATGATTTCATAATGAAAGGCTGGATTCAAAGGCAGTGCCAGTCGCCAGATTATAATTAATGATTGGGAATTGGCAATAATGTTTGAAACTTCTATGCTAAGCAGTGCTCTCTCCTTTCAGTTCCTACTTGGTTTAAGTGTATAAATTTTATTTTTACTGAGAGAGACTTAATACTCCATGATTTGTGCTGAGATTGGAGATATTTTGGTGCATAATACACCTGTGTAAATGGTACCTATACATACATTTATTTGATTGTTGGGTGCCTCCCATTTCCACTTACAAAAAAGAAAATGGTTTTGTAGATCAAGCTTAGGATAGCCTTCATAGTTTTCCTCTTTTCTTGGACATTATATTATCAGGCAAACAAGTATAAAGTAAACACCCACTGACCTAGGCCTTGTGATTTTGGTAGGTACTGATGGTACTGCTCATTAATGTGCCCTTTTCATCAAATTTGTTTTAATTGGCACTTTTGCTTTTAAAAGGCAAGTGCAAAGATGAATATGTGACGTAAGTTCCTTCTTATTTGCCTTTCAGGGAAATGCTTGACAACTGCACTGCTCCCAAACATCAAAAGCTATCGAGTTCTGAGCATCAACTGCTGACAGAACTACTCATCAAAAAGGATGCTGATCTGAAAGCAGCAATGAAGGTAGGTGCCTACTCCCAGATTTCATATGTCTAAGCAAGATCCTTACAGATAGGAACCTTCTCTCTTAGACAGTAGCTAGAGGGCTGCGACTAGTGAGTAGAATGATTTTCATTGTGATGAAGTTGGCTTATTGAGTATGGGTTAAAAAATGTGACCCTAGGTTTCAGTTGTAGACACATTGCAGATGCTGCTTGGTATACATACATAGATGGAACATGAACCTCTGTACACCACAGGGCTATGTTTAGAGATGTAGTGGAACAGGGTATGGATTGAAATCGAAAACGTCCCTCCCCCATCGGGGCGACGGTTTAAGTAAAATGGCTACGCGACAACCTGTCCCGTTGCTCAGTTGCCCACAACCTTTTAATTCGGTATTTTCAGGAGGCAGAAGAGCAACAAGAGATCCAGGTGAAAATGGACCTCCTAAAGGCAGAAGTCGAGCAGCAAGACATTGAGCTCAGGGCCTTGCAGAAGAACCTTAAGGACGCAGAAATGAGATTGGTAATTTGTCTGTGTTTTGTTCGTTACTGACACTTCAATCATTTAACCAGCGCCTTGCTGGTGGTGTCAGTTTTCTGTGTCGTGCTGGAGGGAGGGGGGGGGGCAGGGGCGTTTTCACGCCTCCCCCGTGTAACTCAGCTCCTGGGTCATGTAGCGACACGCGGTAAGTGGCATTCGAGAGAGCTTCAAAAATAATGAAGAGAACGCTTCGTTCATTTTAAAGTCAGGTCGTCAAAGGTCATCAAAGGTTAAATTTTGCCCATTTCAACTATTTTTGAAAACCCGGCGCCTAACTCGGGAACCAATAAAGCTACAGCGCCGCGGAAAGCGCATTCGATAGCTCTTTCAACGCTCTTTCGCTGACACCGCCTGATATTTGACCTCAGCTGGTCAACGGCCTAGCCTCCAGAGGGCAAAAATTAAAAAAGCCGTTTCTACGATTTTTTTTTGTACTAACCTTTAACTCCATAGAGTCACGACATTGCTTTTGCCAGCATCGTGTTCCTCTCGTCGAGACGCGTCGAATGAACTACAATTTGACCCTGAACGGTCATTTTGGAAAGTTAACCTGAGGTCAAGGTCACGACCATGTAAAAGGTCATGTTGATCAGTCGATCGGTATCGTCGAGTTGACCACATCTGAGGTTTTTTACCGCTCTAGCAAGTAGCATGTCTCTACCAAAAGTTATGGTAAAAAAAAACTGCTGGGGACCTTCCGTGATCTTAGATGAGGGGCACAAAGAGGGGTCACGGGTGTAAGTTTCCGATTCATGGTGTCATGTTCACACATGTTCATCATGTTGTGATCATCACATGATGATCATCACATCATGTTCCCGCGCCCCGTAGGGGGGGGGGGGGCGAAACGGCCCCTCCCTGTCCTTTTCCGTCGATATCTCCTAAACGGCTGGAGATATCGCCACCAAACTTTCAGAACCCCTCCGGGCATCAATTTTACACATTGTGGCCAATTTTTTTTTTCAGAGGCTATGATAGGTCGGCCACAAATGACGTCAGAATGACGTCATGTTCTGTCATTTTCGACCGAAAAAAGACCTTCGCGAGAAGACCCGTCAGGCCTACAGCTTTGAAGATACATAAAAATGATCAAAACATAAAAGGTGTAGAATTGACATGGCTACAAAACTGCTTTCTCGGATTTTTGAAATTTTTGAGTTTTGACCCCAAAAATCAAAAAAACATTTTTTTGGATATATTAGCCGAAAAATCAAAGAAGTTTTTTTGAGTTTCGAAAAAACCGGAATATATGTGATAGTACCTACCGTCTTCTATCTACATACCAAATTTCATATCGATACCTCGTTTTTTGGCCAAGTTATAGCGAAAAAAAACTGTTCAAAAATGATGACGTCAAATTTTCTAACTCAATTTTTGGCAATTCTAGATCTCGTAGAGCAGAACAAAGACCACCATTAGACTCCCCGTGACGAGCTGCATCGAATCGATACCCATTTTATGGAAAAATATCAACTTTGAAATTTGACCTAATTTGACCTGACCTTGGCCTGACCTTCACCAAAATGTGACCCAGGCTGGCCCCAAAGGCTGCCTAACCCACATAATCGCATTTTTCATGTAAAATGGACCATAAAACATGTATCACACCACACTTTCATATTGTGACCCCCGGTGACCTGACCTCGCTGTGACCTGACCTGGTATCAGTGACCTCAGATAGCAAATTATGTGTTTGCCGAACAATGTACCATCGATGGTTTTCAATAAATTACCAATTTACTCGATTTCACAACACATTTCTTGAAATGCCTGTGAACGGTGAAAATCCGACCTTTGACCTGACCTGTGACGTAATCGGTTTGACCTAGGTCAATGAAATTTGGTCACAAGGTAGTTCCCCGGTGGGGCTATCGAACACTGTTTGAATTTTGAAAATCGGCCGGTAAATTTCCGAGATCTTGGGGGGGGGGGCCGAAACGGCCCTCCCCTACGGGTGGTAGGGTCCGCCGATAGCCCTACGGGGCGCGGGTTAACTGGTGTTTGAGAGCGTTTCGAACGGCGTTCGTCCAAAAGAGGCGCATTTCAATTTTCCCCCATTGACTTATAATGGAGAAGTCGCAAAATTGACATGACCTTAGGTCACAGCTATCGGAATTCCGAGATAAACATTTCATGCACATTGCACACTGTTACTGTTATCAATCGCTGGAAGTTTCAGAACGATCGTTCAGTCAGTGTAGCTATAGCGAGCATTGGAGCTTTTCTGAGGTAAGGTCTCTTGATGTGACCTGGTGACCTGACCTTGAACGACCCGGGTCTGAAATTTTCACAAAATGCGCAGCAAAGATGTATAAATAGATGTGTCGAAAACGGCGGCGTGTAGCTCCGCCAGTTTTCAGATATTCACCAAAAACTTTAGAGGGGACGTTTTCACGCCCCCTCCCCCCCCCCCCAGCACGGCGCGGGTTAAGCATCGCAAGCATCTCAATATTGACGCTGTAATATTTTTGGTTCAAGAAAAATGAGCAAAACTGCATTTGTTGGAACCTTGAATGAATAACTTTTCCACTGCAATCATGCTCGGCAGTGGAAGTGATAAAATGGAGCACAGGGTATTTATTTGACCACTACCTAATGCAATTCAAGCAAAATCACTGCCCTCGTCTAAAGCGATGGCCGAAATTTCTTGTTCCTTGACCAATCAAATATTGTCGGAACTGCAGTCTTTTGCATGGAATAACTGGTAAATCGCGATGTTACAAAGTGTTTATGAAATTTCATGTATTCTCAGGCCAACGCTATCTACCAGGCCAAGCAGAAGCTCGAGTCTATAGCCAGGGCGGAGAATGGGCCTGTGAACGCCGACGATCTCATCCGATATGCGCACCGGATCAGTTCGACCAACGCCGTGAGCGCTCCGCTGTCGTGGCAGCAGGGCGACCCGCGGCGACCCTATCCTACCGGTGAGTCACGCGGTGCAGCACAGTGGCACGCACCTGTACACAGGCCGCCCGCTAGTAAAGCTTCGATACGGTCTAGGGCCTGTGTGTAATGTCTAACTCATTTAATACAATATATGCAGGATGTCTGACTAATCACTATGTCTGTAACGTCTCGCCGTCTGTGGCTCAGATATGGAGATGCGCCGCGGCCTGATGGGTCGGCTGGTGGACCTGCCGATCGGAGGCCAGCAGCTGCTGCAGCCTCTGCTGGAGCAGCAGCAGCAGTCGGTGGCGGCACGCGGCGCCCAGGAGCCGGCGCCGCCGCCCCCGCCGCCGCCACCGCCGCCGATGCAGCAGCAGTCCAACCAGCTGCCGCCGCCGCCCCCGCCGCCGCCTCCGCCGCCCCCTCCGCCGGCGTCGGCGGGCGGCCAGTTCCAGTGGCAGCCGTCGGGCGAGATCCACCTGGGCGTGCAGGGCGGCGCCAGCGTGCCACTGGAGAAGCCGGCCGCCGCCGCGGACGTGGAGGTGATGTCCACGGACAGCTCGAGCAGCAGCAGCAGCGACTCGCAGTGAGCGCCGAGCCGACGCGGGCAGTCGCCTCCGCCGTCCGGGGATCCGTGCCGGCCGCATCGCCGTTATCAGGACATGTCAATGGGCGACAGTTGGGTGCAAAGACATTGAGACAATAGTGGGTGCTGCGCAGCTGTACTGCCGCGATGCTACTCAGGTTGAGTGAGTGCAGCGAGCCATTTGTGTCATCTGCCTGTCACCATTGTTGTAATTCACCTTATCGATCGCTGTTTTTCATATTGTGTGTACAGTGTAAATATGGATTGTGCTTTGTAATAAAAACGGTTTTAAACATCTCTTGCTTGAATTTATGACACTTGACTTTCTTCCACTTGACTACAAATTGATCGGCTGTATATTTATTGACATTCGTCGTTTGGTCAAGAACACCTGTAATATACACAAATGAGACTCTGGGTTACCACAATGCCTCGGTAAACGTTCAAAGGTCATAACAGAAGATCGGTAGGTTCATCCTCTCGGGCCACCAATTGCGGCTTGTTACGGGCACAGGCACGAGCCGCACAACAGCAAAACACGCCCACTTGCCGCACAGGTCAACAACGAGTCTGAGCGCAGATCATCGAGGTCTATAAATGGTCAAACGTTCGTGTCACCAACAAATTTGCGTTCAGCCATTCACAGCCAACCATGCGTTTTAGTGTCTAACTTACAGCTATGCTTTCCTTATTTATCAATGCCGCCGTTCAGCTTGGACGGATTCTTTGTTTTACAAAATAATGCTAACATTAGATTACATGGAAAACACGCGGGCAGATCCATTGTGCGTTTGTAAGAGGTGACAACTCGTGGCTGATCACAACTCGGATGTTGACCGACAGCAAAAGTTGTGCGAGAAGGGGAAGAACGCCAGTGACGAAACACCTGGGCGTCGTTATATAAGGGGAAGAAACGGGTTTTCTACCATGGGAAATCATGACCTTGGATGCTCACCGGACCAGATCTGCCGGTGTATAAAAATATAAAGCAAAAAATTCGCACCAGTACCACAGAGGTCAGCGATATTCACTTATGCAATGTGGGTAACAAATGAGCTAATTGGGCAATGGTTGCAGTGCATTAGGATGGGTGAAGCGCTAACATGTGGTTTCGATAAAAGTGCATGATAACATAACTATACGTGATACTGGATAGCAACAATGCGTCGCGTACGTAACGTTTTCACACTCATAGGTCAATCATGCAGATCAGGGAACAATCTGATCCTGACCAAGCAGACAAGCACTTTAGCAGTTTAGCATCCCCTCGCATAAGTTGATCGCGACACGCTCCCTCGTCATCCTTTCGGAATGGAGAGCGAGGCCGAATCACATCTCGCCCATGTAGAGCGAGGCCGGTTCACATCTCGTCCATTTGTAGCGAAGTCAGCTCACATCTCGCCCATGTAGATCGACGCCGGTTCACGTCTCACCCATGTAGAGCGAGGCTGGTTCACATCTCGCCCATTGGTTGCGCCAAGTCAGCTCACATCTCGCCCATGTAGAGCGAGGCCGGTTCACATCACGCCAATGTAGATCGACGCCGGTTCACATCTCGCCCATGTAGATCGAGGCCGGTTCACATCTCGCCCATGTAGATCGACGCCGGTTCACATCTCGCCCATGTAGGGCGAGGCCGGTTCACATCTCGCCCATGTAGAGCGAGGCGTGCTCCGAGTCCAGTCGGCGTGTGCTGGGCGAGTAGAAGCCGGCCTGCGATCGGAAGTTGCCGGGCGGCAGCGGCTGGTCCCACAGCGTGCTCCACACCATGCGCACTGGGTTTGGACGCTTGGTGGATAGGCTGGGCGGGTGCGTGGGCGCTCTCTCGACCCTGGTTGGTGGCAGAACAGAAAACATTACGTCAGTGGTGGCAAGTAGCCTTCGACTGCGGAAACTAGCGGGTGCGCAGGTTTCGAAAGCCAATCAGGCGAATCATGGGGCCAAGTCCCGTTGGCCGTTGGATTACAATCATGGCCCATTGTCCGTAGCCTGGACTGAACAACTTAGATCGTCGGAGTGGTATGACAGTTCGGTAGTCGGTAAGAGCTACCAAGAGTAGCGCGTATGCAGTAGAGAGCGTAGTAGAGAGGGGTAAAACTGAATTCACTGAAGTTTCAAGAATTGCTTAGGGGCATAGTCTTGTATGCCGTATGGACTATTGAGCATTGATAATCGCTACTATATCGATTAATAATTGGAGACCCTCTCACCTGAACAGATTCGCGAAGTACTTGATGAGAACCATCATGAGTCCGACGAACACCACCAGCAGGACGATGGCGCAGCCGAGGAAGATGAAGTTGCGCCCGTACTCTGAGCGGATGTTGGCGTTCCACTCCTGATCCGGGTAGCCCTGGATCGGCCGGAAGTCGCGAGGCGCTGACATGACGACCGGCAGTCACTTCCTGCGGCGGAAGAACAGCTCGTCAAAATGTCATCGAGTTATGTCATTACGACCGTGCCCTTGACGAGTTATTCGCGATTGATCGGAACATTTTGGAGATAAGGAGCTGAAAGCTGGCATACCGTATACCTACGCCCTCAGTGGCGCTGAGTCACTGGCGTCTGGCACTAGTCACTTAGTCAGTGCCAGGGGAGATGAGATGGAACTTATGGGGCACAGTAACAGCTCCCAAGCCCTCACAACTTGTATATCTCGGGTTTTTCATAAAAATCGCAAGAGGTCAGGGGGGTTACGTGATCTAACCATTATGTATGTCAATGGGGAAACATACAAACTGTCATTTTGGCGCTGGCTATCTCAAGCGCATAGAATTGTGATTTCCTACAATCCATGCAAAGACCGATGCCTAACCTTTGTATTGTTGACCTTGCATAACGTGAGATATGCCGGCCCGTGACTGAGGTCAAATCGAATAATAAGCGACATGACCTCCTTCGACGAGCGTCGTAATCGGGGCGACTGTGACCTTGCATCAGCTACCTCATGCCTGAGGTCAACACCTTAAATTGACCTTTCCCAAACAAAAACTATGTTGCTCGACGCATCTCAGCATGACGGGACACCGTGGTGCCAAAATCGCAGCGCTGCAACCGTCTTTGGCAAAGTTGTTCACGAAAAACCAACCCTCTACCGTCGGGCGTTGGCCTGACCTCAGAGGTTACCGGTTTAACAGCACCGACCACACTTTGGCTTTTTAACTTACAGTGGTTGATTTGATGACATGATGTATTTAGCTTATATCTCAGATTCTGTATATCGTGGGACCCTCGGTCAGGTCAAGTTTTTTCAAGATACCTAGGTCAGGTCAGGTTCGCAGCCTCTCCATTAGGTGGGTGGGTAGGGTACTGGGTAATGGTATAGTTCAATGCGCGAATTAACTGCGCTTTATTCGGGCAAAAGAGGCGCAATTCATTTCTTACAAATCAAAGTATACTTATACATAGAAATATAAGCGTGTCTTATTTCTACACATTAGCATGATTACCTATTGTTTAGCATGCAATTGCAATGAAGCATGAACAAAAGTCAAAACATAACGGGGCGTAAAGCTTCTTCATGCAGTCAGCAGTGCACCTGCGTTACAAAACATTGCAGCTTAGCTCATTGTGAATATTATTAGTTTTAACTTATGTAATATAAGTTATAACCATATGTAGGACTATCAGTTAGGCAACACACGCTTCCGTTTCAGTCCAACTCACCCCCAGTTTGTGTGCAGGCGGTGTCTGTAAGATTCGCCCAAGCAGCGACGCCCCGGCACTCCAACGTACGCCACCCCTCGTTGTCCGTCGCTCCCGCCTGGCCGGCCCGCTCCTCACCCCCCAGCCGCGCCCCTTACCTGTCCGCCGGCGTGCCCGGCTCAAACTCTCACCTTGACGCCGTACCTGGCGGCCCGTCGCCCGCCGCCAGCCCGAGCCGGTTGAGCGCCGTCGACCGCTGAGCGCGGCTCAAACTCGCAGCCCAACGCACTGCCATAGTGATTACATGCGCTGTATTATCCCGTATGTTTTAACTCGTATATCACCCATAAAGCCCATATCTCGCTTAATTTATACCAAGGTTACTTTTTCAATGCCTATAAGGCCTTGTTTTTATTACGCCCCAAATAGGCAAAACCTGCGAAAGTCGCAACGCAAACTACAAATCCCCGACCGAAGGATGGGGTGATAATACCCCTGACGGGTTTCCGCAACTGCTCGGAGCGTGTTACAGATAGTGGACTGGAAATTTGGGTGAATAGCCTTTTACTTTATATAGATGTTTACGTACCTACCAGCCGCATTTTCAGGTCAGGTCATGAAAATGCCACTACATCGCAACACTTATGTCGGGGAGTCTTTTCCAGCCACTAGGAAGATGGAGCTTGCAGGAAGAAGCAAGCCCCCGAGTCCTTTCAAATTTGTTGATCATGGACTTTTATAAGGTCCACCTGAGGTCAGATCGGTCACGTGATCTTTCATTATGGTCCTCCCCGTGGCCTTAGATAGAGGAAGACGGAGTCGGAGAAGGCCCCCACTGAATTCAGAATGAGGTGCCGAATCGATTGATGTGTAACATGCTCTCAATCATCTAGCCTTTTTACCCCATCACTCTATGACCTGACCTTGACCTGAGGCGGTTCTTACCTAAACAGAAAGCATATCAATCGACTCGGCTTGACACTCCAAACGCGATGGCACAAAACCGTTACTCTGTGTCTATGTAATGTATATCACGCACCTACCCTTTCTGTGGGTTGTTTATATAAACTAGAACCTGTTGACCCAAGACTTGAAAATTGGATAGGCACCATACGCATTTCACTTAAGCCCGTTTGACATTCAGACTCTTGACCTTTGATGACCTTTGTTGATCCTTGTTCTTCTGGTAAAACAAACATTAATCGGAAGAAAAATTAATTAAATGTTCGCTTGGTCATTCATGCCAAGAAAACGTGGAGATGTAGCTTAAAACAATTAAAGCGCTCGTATAACTACACAATAGCCGTTGTCACGACGGCCATCTGGTAGGTACAAATTTGTTGCAGATTAGGTGCAATTTGGTGCTAATTTGGTCAAATTAGGTGCATTCACCAGGTAGCCCGTCGTGAAAACGGCTAATAGCTACACGCATGTACTATATCTAATTATTTAGGTGTGAAGCCGTTTATTGAGACGTTTACAGATGCAGTTCTGTGCTGGAAAATAACGACCCTTTCAAGAAAATGTTGTATCCAGCGGAGAGAAAGGAAGATCGGTGCGCACTGGCGATGCATGGAAACTGCATCGAAGTGAAATGGATCGAATGAGACGGTATGTATAGCATGTAACATCTAGCATTTACACATCTAGCTTTTACCAATAATAAATTTATCAATAATAAATAGGATAAAATACCAATAATACCAATAATACCGTTTACCAATATTAAATAGGAACTATGGCTACTGGCTAGGGCTAGGCAGTATGTTAGTTGACATTGTATGGTATTGATGTCACTTTAACGTTTACTTTAAAATGTTTCTTTATGAGTTTCGGCATAGACAGGTAGCCATAGAGTTGATGTAAGAAATAGGATAAAGTAAGAAATAACCGGTACTTTTCGCTTTATTTGCCCGACCAGTAGGCGCTCATAGGATGAGGATTAGACCGTCAGGGCATGCGACCGCAGTGGGGTCGTCCGATGATGGATGGGCTGAGTGGTGGGGAGGGTGGATGGCCTGGGGAGAGGTGGGGGCGGGGGAGGGGTGATGACCGGCCGGTCGGCCGGCTGGGCCGCGCGGTGATGTCACCGACCGCCGCTCGGCCGCGCCAGTCGCGCTGCCGGTCCAGGGCCGTCCGGAGGTGATACGGTGGCGAGATGGCGGCGGAGGGGAGGAGCGCCGCCGGCGGCTGGTGGCCGGCCGTCTGCGTGCTGCTGTGCCTGGCGCTGGCGGCGCTGGAGGTGTTCCACCTGCAGCAGACGGCGGAGCTGCGCCACCAGCTGCTCAGACACCGCGGCCGGCTGGACGCCCTGGAGCAGGCGCTCACCGACACACTGGTGAGTACACATTGTTCGCCGGAACAGCACACACCCAGCGCCCAGACATACACGTCACACACGCAGTCTGTCTGTTTACAAATGAAACGACAGCTATATTCTCGTCGAGGCATTCAGGAAATGAAAATGAGGCATTCGTCAGACACCGACGGATCAGCTGATTTTGCTTCGGGTCAGGTCACGATCAAATAGGGATCAGGACCTTGTTGACATTTTGAACTTTATTAAAATCAAATGTTTCTATAGAACATTATCTTTAAATAAAAAGCTTTTGACTTGCTCGATGTTGCTCCGTGCCCGGCTCATTTCGCAAAGTCAGGGGTCTTTCCAGCATCTACCTTACCTACAAGGTCAAGATCAAAGACATTTAAAAACTCCGGCCAGCAGAACCGTTTCATAATTCCCGGATATTTATGAAAACAGATGCCTGTCGGGGGCATCGACATAGCGGCAATGTTTATCAAAATGAGCTGTCACCATGGAGCCCGAACCTGATGAAACGACAAATGTGGGGTCGCGAAATAAACTGTGACAAAAGGGATGAAAACGGAATGCCTGCGGATTTTGTGATTGCAGAGGTGTGCACCGTGCAGTATGCACAAAAGGATGTTGTCACACCGAGAGCATTTAAGTGTAGGGGAGAGTGGGGCAAAGCGGCCACCCTAACGTTTCTAACGATGCCGACGCTTGATTTTTAAACTTGGAAAGATTCTTTCTATACCAATGTGATCCCTATTAAATTGTCTTTTATTCCAACTGCGTTTCATTTCCAAAGGCGTTCACATATGGGAGATATTGACAAAACTTTAAACCTATAGCATATTGGCCACTTTGCCCCATCCCTGAGGCAAAGCGGCCACTGGCGACTTCTCAAGTCCCGATATGAGAAACAGAATAGTTGCCTCATGCACGACTAGGGTATTTGATGGTGACAAGGTTTAAGGGAAGATGGATGTTTACTTTGTTATCTTCCCATCTATTGCTAAACAAAGAAAGAATTTTCTTGGAAAAACATTTAATTGCATAATTTGGTAACTCATGTAACCGAAAAGTGGCCAAGATGAATGCATGACGACACATTTGAATATAAATAATGTTTTTATCCAGATGGAAACAACTTATGGCCAATTGGGGGCTGGCCACTTTGCCCCGGCCGCTTTGCCCCGCGCATACCGTCCGAGACAAAAATATTCCAGCTCAGCTATTAGTGGGGTAAAAAGCATTAAAATTGGTAGAAGGCATGTACGATAACCACGCAATGCATGGACAAAAACGCTTATAAAAATTACAAACGGTTATGGAATAAAATAACATTTAAAAATTGTAGACATAATTGGTAACCTGGCAAGAAATGCTTTTCCGTGTTTCACAGAACAATGGCGATGGGCCTGAAACCCCGGTCTGGCTCATTCGAACGACCGCAAAGAGAAGTATAATTGGAAATCATAAATTGGAACTGACGCCAGCTGTGGAGGGCTAAAACGATGGATGGCCGCTTTGCCCCGGGTGGCCGCTTTGCCCCACTCTCCCCTACCTAAGTATTGAGAGGTGTTTGTCATACAGAGGAGCACGGTGCGCCGGCGCACCGTGGCCACTCTGCCGCCTGCGGTGGGTGGCTCCTCGAGCCGCCTCTGACCGAGATCCCACCACCGTCAGCTCGTGTTTTCCTGGCTGGACCTTCCTCGGACGTTTCCTGGACGAAACCCGTGTAGGAAACCGTCGAACCCATGTGTGTATGTGTGTGAATGGCGACACGCTTATGCTTCCTCCGATCTGTATGCTCCGGGTCTTGTGGAGATTCTGCTGTTACCGTATTATGACATGGCATTACGTTTAGCTAGCCACTTGCAGTAGCGGCGGAACACTTTCAATTAAGGGGGGGGGGGGGCACTGCCGACTTTTGGTCCCATTCTTTCCATTCAACGCCCATCTCTCTCCCTCTCTCCCTCCCTCTCTCTCTCTCTCTCTCTCTCTCTCTCTCTCTCTCTCTCTCTCTCTCTCTCTCTCTCTCTCTCTCTCTCTCTCTCTCTCCTTCCAATAGTTATAGCGTGGGCGGTGATCGTCGCGAGACGGACGGGAAGCGTCGCGTCGCTGTCGCCGCGGCAGCCGAGAGTCGGAGACGCCGACGCCTTTGTGCGACACGGGCGGTGACGCGGCAGTGCGTATTGGGAGACGTGACGCAGCAGCGTTTCCTGAATCCTGCGGCCATCTGGACCGGATGGCGGGTCGGACTTTACCGCCGGCCCTGCCGATCTGCTCACAGCCACTGGGGAACTTATAACAGCTCAGTCTCAATTCCGTCAACTCGGCCCATATTCAGTCCCACGTTCAGTCGGCCGGATGTCTATCCACTATATAAACTATTCTTGTCGGTAGCCTGTTGCCTACACGGCCTCGGAGGGGAAACGGCATCCAGTCCGAGTCCCGACAGTCACATACCTTATCCGCAAGTACAGTAGTTGTAGTTGGGGATAGATTTGAAAACTGTCATGGTGTCATGTAAGTTGTAACGCCGACCTACGACCTACGTGATGCTATCACGCTCATCATCGGCCATCGGGCCTGTTCAAATCAAATGACGTTGAACTCCTTGGACGGTCACCCTTGCCCAGCCTTATGAAAGGCGTCAATAATTGCTTTGGAGTTTGGACTGGGTTGTTCATAAGATGCTGTATGTATGTATCAGACTCACTGCTCTGCGCTGCGTTTTCTACATATGTAGGTACGCTCCGGCCGCCCCCCCCCCCCCCCACCCGTTTCGCCCCTAATGAGCTAGATAGAGCCTCGTGGAAAAAACGAGCGTGTGCGCTGTGCACCGTTGCGAGACGCAGTGATTGGGACCCGATTAACCCGCGCACCGACGGGGGGGGGGGCGGATATCCGCCCCCCCCCCTGAGGTTTTTCGCGAATAGCGGGAAAACCGCGGCGCTACCGCCGCAAAATTTGGTATGACTATAACCTCATCAATTTTACACATGGTGTGCAAGTTTGAACCTCTTATCTTTCAAGGTCAGGTCACCAGGTCACTTTGAATGACCCAACCTCAAGTCACTTTTTTGCAACTTTGTCACCGTGCCAGAGCTACAGTAGATGTCGGAGGCCTTTGAAAGTCGCAGGATGTTATTAGGTCATTAGTAGCTACAATTTGTATATCTCGGAATTTTGATATCGGTGACCTAAGGTCAGGTCAATTTCGCGACCTTCCCATGATAAGTCAATGGGGGAAAAATCAACTCCCTGTTTTTACCACTAAAACGGGTCGGAATGGCCCCATATCCCCATACATGACTTCATATACGACCAACCTTCACTACCTTGAGGTCTGTTTTGCTGTTGGGTAGCTGTGAGGTCATGTGACGTCATCAAAGGTCACCAAAGGTTTTTGGCCAATAACTCCGTACAGGAACAAGATACAGCCGCGTGGATGGTCTCATTGTGTTCAGCTCGTCAAGACACATCGAATGATATACATGATGACCTCGAGGTCACGTGACCTGAGGTCAACCTTTGACCTTGACCTTTCGAGGTCAACATATATATCATTCGATGAGGATTGACGAGAGGATCACGATGATGCCCTTAGTTTGTCCCTATCTTGACTAATTCGAAAGTTATTCGAGAAAAACTCTCTCCATATCTAGCGCCGCCATTTTGACTTTTTCGACCCCTGTGACGTCATCTTTGACCTGACCTGAAAATGACCTTAGTAAAAATTGTAGATCTTGACCGTGCGTATCCGATGCCGTTTACCGCTTGTCGCTATCTTGCTTCGTTCTCGAGATCTCAGGGGGGGGGGGCGGTCATCCGCCCCCCCCCCCCCCGTCGGTGCGAAGTTGGCGCAGACCCCCGTCGGTGCGCGGGTTAAAGGGACCCTCCCACCTCGCATGTGTGTCGCATGTGTAGAAGGGCGGGGGTCGGATGGACCCCCCATGGTTTTTCGCGAATAACTCGCGCAAAAAGCGGCCGATCGCGACGAAACTTTCAGTACCCTCGAGTTGATCAATTTTACACCTACTCTGAAAATTTCATGACCCGGACCCAAGTGACCTTTGACCTGTGACCTATTTCTCGAGGCCATGTTTGGCCGGAATCGCGATTCGGCGTATGTCGGCTCGCATTAGCCGCGCGTTTGCAAGCTTCTCGTGGTTTCAAACGTTCAAACATGAGATTTGATGTTGCTCCCATGCATTTGGGTGGATGTCAAGGTCACCTGAAGGTCAGGTCAGGTCATTGACCTTTGGTGACTTCGGTTCACTTTTTCGAGCTGCACATGTTTCTAGGCTAGTTTTTGGAGCTGAATTCGAATTTAGCAACCATTTGAACATTTACGAAGAAGTTCTGGTGCCTTCGTAACATTTTACGAAGCTGTCAGAGGCAGTTGACACATACTACGAAGTCCCGTCACGACCCCTTACTGGTTGATCTGACCTGACCTGACCCGACCTGGTCTAAATGCATGAAGACAACATCTATGATCAAAACTAACACGATATTCGTGATCAGCACCCCGAAAAACCCCTTAGCAGCCATACTCTACGACTTTCTAACAGGTCCCTCCCGATTTTCCCGACTTTGGGTCATTGACCTGACCTGGAAGGTCAACCAATGACCTAGGACCTTAAAATTGGGTATCATTCATCGGCTTCCTCTCGTCACGGGCAACACGCTTGTTTTTTCCGCGAAGCTCTAGCTCGATCAGGGGCCAAACGGCAAGGGGGGGGGGTCCAACCGACCCCCCCCTACACATTTGAAGCTGGCAAACGTCGCACACATGTGAGGGTTAAGGTCTCAGGTGAACCGGTGACCACTGAGGTCAGGTCAAGTGGCCCACGGCACGGATTCTGTTTTTGCTAAATAACATCGCCAAAAATGGTCGCAGAGCCGCGAAAATGATACCATCGTGTTTGTATTGCTCAGGCGCGTCGGATGGTATACTTTTTCTTCGATTTAGCCCAACTTGAGGTGCTGACCTCGGGTCTAGGTCAGGTCAGAGCCCCTCAGATCACCTGTCACCAAGCTGATCAATGGTTGTTTGATCAGCTGGAGGTCAATTGGTGGAGGTCATATTGCATATCATTCGATTCGGCAGGTCTTCCCGAGTCCATTGGTGACTTTCGCAACTCGCTAGCTAATTGGATCGGGAGATACTGACGAACCTATGACCTCATTGACGTTATAAATGACTCACGCAAGGTCAACGATGCACAACTACAAGCAAAGCGTTACATCTTGCAAGACGCAAGTAGTGCATGGAATTACGATCCCATGTACATGAGCTGATAGGTTTAGAGTTAAGATCATTTCCGGCGCCAAAATAACTATTCCTATATATCCCAATTGACTTATGATGGTGAGGTCACGTGAGTGTTTTGACCTCATGTGACCTTTAGGTAAAATCCGAGATAGGTACAGGGTGTAAGACCTCTGCTGGAGGATACTAGTAGTTTCCTGTGACCATTGCCCATTCCAGAACTGAAGTATCAAGTATGATTTTGTTCTATATCTCCAGTGGGGTTGTGATTCCGCGCCGTCTCTTCAGTCTCCATTGAAGGACGTGCTTCTGCTCCGTCCCTCCGCTGAAAGCTGTAATTATGTAACGTATTTGACCCGAGAGTTGTGATTCGGTACCGTATTTTCCCCGGGAATCGTGGTTCTGCACCGTATTTCCCCGAGAGTTTCACAACTCCAGATTATTCTCAGATACCTACCTATTCTGTACCTATAGCAACCCCCCCCCCCCCCCGAGAGTTGTGCTTCTATATAGGTATACCGCATTTTCATCGTCAGTTGTGATTCTGTGCCGCATTTCCGCCGAGAGTTGTGATTCTGTACCGGACTTCCACTGTCAGTTGTGATTCTGTGCCGTATTTCCACCGTCAGTTGCGATTCCGTGCCGTATTTCCGCCGAGGGTTGTGATTCTGTACCGTTCAGCTCCGCTGACAGTCGTGATTCTGTGCCGTGTCTGCTGAGTGTGTAGTTGAAGTGCTGTATTACGCTGTACCGTTCTGGTGCCGGCCCTGACGTTCTCCGCCTGCCGCAGATGGAGTCGGTCGCCGCGGTGCGTCTGCGGCGGTCGGTGGCCGCCGCGCAGACCAGTCCGGCGGGAATCCCGATCGTGAGCCGGCCGTACGGCCACCGACCGGCCGACCGGCCCACCCAGGCGCCCGTGATGCGCGTGTACGACACGTTCGGCGCTTCCACCGACCGGCCCGGGGACGGCCGGTCTCTGCTGCCCCACCACAGGTCAGCCGGCGACAGCTCTGACCGGGCGACCGGGGGCGAGACGGGCCGGGCCACACCCCTGACCCGTAATGGGGGCTGCGGAAAGTTGTGTGTTTGAATTAATCCAATGTAATGACACGTCATAACAATGAATCGTAGATAGTTATGTTTAAATGAGGATTATCCTCATCTTTTTATACCAGTCGTTGGGAATTTCATCACCTCGCATGCTTTGCGGCTTCGAGTGGAAGCGATGCGAGCTGAACTATTGGCACCTGTTCCAAATCTTCCGTAAGGTCTTGAATGTGTGACATTATCAAGTCGTGTATAAATGTGGCAACTTTGGCTGTTTTGCGTCTGTTTGACATTCCACCCTAGATGTTTGTTGTTTCATCCTCGGCACTATGCCCCAGAATGCCAACCTTCTCTATTCAACATAATTTATGATTATAAACCATAATATCTTACTCCAAAGTAGGTCACTCGCTATCGCAATCCTGCATATAACCGTCCTGCTGTATAAACTGTGCTAAGAGCACGTGCTGACCACGCTAAAAAGAGGCTAATGGTTCTCGTGGCGCCAGCAGCTACGTATCATATCTGGCAGAGGACAGAGGGTGACGTCGGGGTACTGCGATGCGGACTGAGTGTCGCTGTGAGCTCCCGTTTTGTAGAGATATGGTTCTCCGCAGCCCCATGGCTGGGCGATGTTCGCTGAGCTTCCGTGCCCCTCTCCCTGCCGTCAGGAGCAGCGCTGCATTCCAGGGCAGCCGGCTGGGCCGGGTGAACGTGGAGCGACGGCCGGAGCCGCGGCCGACAGAGGCCCAGGCGCTCCACCACCGCAAGTCGCGAGTCAAAGAGGCCGACACAAGGGCTAAGAAGGAGCGACGCGCGAGGCCTCAGGGCGAGCGGCGCCGGTCGAAGCCAACTGAGCTCAAGCGGCTCGACGCCAAACGGACCAAACTGCGCCGGATGAAGGTGAGCGCGGTCACTGGGAGCTCGGCTGGAATGGTGCAGTCGGGGTTTTCAGATTTATGGTGAAGTCTTCTTCGTATTTTTTTTTTTTGCGCAAGAAATGATACTTTTAGTAGGTATGATAAATCGTTACATTTCTGGATAGTGGACGCACACAGATGTGTGATGCTGAGGCAAATATTATCGTTTACATGCCGGCTGATAATATGGTGAGTCGATATCTCTCTTCCCCTGTCGTTCGACTGCAGTCCGAGTGCCGGTGAGGCCCTCCACACGTGAAAAGATCCGCCGACACCGCCCACATCTGTAACAGACTGTCTTCCCCGCAGGCTCGGCGGCTGGAGGAAGCCCGCGGTGCCCCGGTCGGCTTCTCACCCGGGCCCTCGAGTCTGCGCGCCTCGCCAGCCTGGCCTTCTCGGGAGTGGGGCGCCCCGCGGGTGAGCCCGAGTGGCGCCCGTGACCCGTACCCGGATCCGGAACAGGACTCGGACCCGGACCCGGAACCGGCGGGGTCCGGCGGCGGCCAGGGACACCGCGGCGGCAGCGGCGGCCCCAGGCGCGGCCGGCGGATGCAGCGGATGATGGAGGAGCTGCGACAGGCGCTGGGGACCACGGCCGCGCATCTCGAGGGCCACACCACCGAGTACGCGCTGGGACACCCGCATTACAACGGTGAGCGCCCTGGGACACCCACATTACAACGGTGAGCGCCCTGGGACACCCACATTACAACGGTGAGCGCCCTGAGATACCCACATTACAACGGTGAGCGCCCTGGGACACCCACATTACAACGGTGAGCGCCCTGAGATACCCACATTACAACGGTGAGCGCCCTGGGATGCCCGTATTACAACGGTGAGCGCCGCTGAATGCTCGTTAGGTAACAGGGAGGGCGCCGAATATTACAACGGTGAGCATCGCCGCATCCCTCCTCACACTGAGACGAGAAGATGGATCCGTTTTCTGTTTCCGGTCGACTTTCGACTGTTAACTGTTTCCAGTCCGGTGTTTTAATGTTATTTTTAGGACACATTAATCCTGAAAGATGCGAAGGGGGCGGAAGAAAACCCCATTCATTCGCGTCTTCGCAGTACAGTCTCGAAGAGCTTACATTGATTGTTAACCACAAGCAGTGCATCTCGTGCTTGGCCTTATAATGCGACTGACCCGCGATATTTACACCAGGGAACGGCATACTGCGTAACGCCCAGCCGGACTCGCGGTTCGCCGACTGGCGGTTCGCGCCCTGGGTCTACACGCTCGGCTACAGCAACGACTTCACCCTGCACGGCGGAGAGATCACCGTCAAGAGGCCCGGAGTCTACTACCTCTACGCCCAGGTGGGTACCGAGCCGCTCACCGACAGGCCTGAGCCGCGGCGAGTGTTCAGAGTACTGCCTGAGAGAGGTATGTGTGTGCCCTTTTCGTCTTATTTGATATACAAACTGTCCGTCTGGCGGCGTTTATTGCACATTTGACATTTTATGTATGAAACGTTTATAGAATGTCAAAATATGACGCGGTTAACACGTCATTTTCGGCAAAAAGACGGAAATTCCTTCACAGTAGGTATATGTAATAATTACTAATTGAACTCCAAGATTCGAGATATCGTCAGTGCTTTATCAGATGAAATGTCGCAAGAATATGAGGGCTTAAATCGCCCGTACCCATACTCCCGCCCCGATAAGTCGCTGGCTGAGAATGACCGATATTCGGCCGCGGTATTTCAGATAAATTACCTGGATCCCGGTGACATAAACGGTTTCGAGCTGCTCGTCTCGGGCCGCTCGTTCGCCAAGTGCTTGACGATGGAGTCGACCAACCACCGTCAGAAGGTCAACACGTGCCACACCAGCGGCGTCACCTACCTCGACGTCGGTAAGATTGGCGATGTCACCCATTAAATAATCTTAGCGTCACCTGCCTCGACGTCGGTAAGATTCGTAATTATACCCGTCATGTGATCTAGCGTCACCTACCTCGACGTCGGTAAGATTCGCGGTGTCACCCGTCATGTGATCTAGCGTCACCTACCTGGACATCGGTAAGATTCGCTATTCTGTCACCCGTCAAATAGGCTTAGCGTCACCTACCTCGACGTCGGTAAGATTCGCGGTGTCATCCGTCATGTAATCTAAGCGTCACCTGCCTCGACGTCGGTAAGATTCGTGGTGTTAAATGTAATCTTAGCGTCACCTACCTCGACGTCGGTAAGATACGCGTTGTCATCCCGTCAAACAGGCTTAGCGTCACCTGCCTCGACGTTAGTAAGATTCGCAATTATATCAGCCGTCAAGTAAATCGTAGGGCCCTGGGCCTGGACGTCTGTAATATTTGCGGCGCCTCTAACGACCCACGTGACCACGTCCTAGTTCATGGTTAGGTAAACGGTGTCACTTATCTGGCCTTGGCCAGGCGGACCCAAGTGACCGCTGGCGCTGATGTATCAATGTACGTACTATCAAGGCCCTACGTACTATCATGCTGCCTTACTTGCCGGTTTATTCGAGCCGAACCACGAGAATGAGTGGACTCGTATGTGCTCGAACAGTTCCATGTGTCAGCGCTCAGCCGTCAGCACCTTTGCTCGACGCTCGTACCCTGATCATTCGCCGGCCGTTCCGCGGCTGTGACACGTCTGTCCCTCACCGCAGGTGACTCGGTCAGCGTCCGGGACATTGAGAGGATGCGCATCTCGATGCTCTTACCCGACCGCAGCTTCTTCGGCCTGGTGCGGCTGGCTGGCACGGGTGGTGGGGACGCCGGGCGGCGGCGGCGGCGGTCCGGACCGAGCACGGGCGGCAGCGGGTGAACGGGGCGGCGGCGGCGGCTCTGTCTGGCGAGCAGGTGCGTCGCCGGGGCAGAGACAATGTGAAAAGCCTTCAATAGACCTCTGAGACCACCCAGAGTGGGTGCACTCACAGGGGTAGCAGATATCTTCGTGTACTGTGGACTGTGGAGATGGAACTCAATGCGGCACGGATTTGACCCGGCTGTGCCGTACCGGAGTACCGCGAGCCTGCGACCGCGCAGGGGAGACAGCGGTGTTCAAAGGTGCCTCTTGTACCGGCGGGCGCTCAGTGCGTTGGGGCGTTCGCTGAGACATTTGCTAGGTGCGTGCCATTATATGTTCTCATCAAACGTCATTGGCCCTGGGGCTGCACGGCAGTTGGTTAGTCCTGCCGCGTTGCCAGTCACTGCATACCTAGTTAGTTCCTGCCGTGTTGAAATGCGTAAGGACACATATTACATTTGCATGTGGCCATGAATTTTATAGGTATGCTTCCATATATACCGTGTTTTTGCCGTCATAAGGGCGTTCTGTCTGTATGTTGCACTTGCGTCACAAGCAAATGAGCAAGTGGTGGTTTTTCATCCTAACCCGTGAACGCGATCAGACAATCAGCCGACGCACCCCGTGGTGTGGATACTGGATAGCTATGGCATTTACCAAGAGAATTGTCCCGTGTCCGTGCCAAGCAGGTGATCCATGACACTTCAGTGCCATTACATGACGGTATGACGAATGTGCCAAAAACCTGTATCCCACTTGTGCAGCACTAATATTGAAGCACCATGCTTCACATGAATTGAGATTTGCGGTGGCATCACGGTATATTGACGCTTATCCTTTTTCATAAACATATTTAATCGCCACTTTAGGGTAATGTGTCATTGTCTTGAAAATGTTCTAGGGAATAAACAAAATGAAAGACATGTTATGTTCAGCAATGTAGCCGTACGTATGCGTTCGACCTTCGATCATGTAATAAGAAGTTAGGTTCAACTTCATACGAATAAGGGGCTGAAAATAAAATAACCAAGCGATCAAAATACATACATGTACATATAATGTACATGGTCACTCCACAGGCGGATTAAGCTGTGTTAGGTTCCCATAAATTAACAAATGGTTTGCCGACATGTCAAAGTCTTGATCTCATTTCGCCATGTATTCATGTAGTTGTCAGCTCATCACAAGCGCTCGCCACATAGCACGGCACAATTGGTAGATTTCCTGTACACGGTCCCGATTCGGGGCCTGGGATACGTCCCTGATTCGGCAACGCCACCCTCACAGCAGGGTGGGGATGCCGTCTAACCCGCAATCTATCAATCATTCGGCATAGCCACGTCCGACTTCCGAGGTACCGACCACAACGTAACACATCTGACTTAAAGTCGAGCAGCACAAGTTGAATCAGTTTTGATGCGGATCACACGGACATCTCGCCTCTACAATCCGTTCGGCCGTTTGTACGCCAGTTACAGCCGAGCAGCGTTTTATACAGGGTCAGCGACGCAGCACACACCGAGGGGAAGGGACTGGGTCTCGAGCTACATCTGTGTAACACAGCACACGTCCGCGGTCGGTACATCACATAACCGGACACTGAGGAACACAGGACGGTAAATGTGCTACAACAGTCTACCTGAATACCAAGCAGCGCCAGTTGTATTCCGGTAAGGAGCCGTCTCATTTGTAGTTTTGAGATAATGTCCAATACAAAAAATGCACGTTGTTGACAGGTTAGGGTGGAAGTGGGGATTGATGAACAAGAATTGAGCTACTTCTAAGGTTGCGAATCAATATCGATTGCTGAGTTTACTTTTATCCTTACCGAAACTTACCAGTCTATTGTCTCAAGAGCTCGCGCTTTATGTCCCCTCGTACAAACCTAATCCTTCGGCGATACCAACAACGTGTTCATGGCTATCCCTTCAGGAGGGATAGGGATAAAACTTGAACTAGGTACGAGCAGGGACGAGTAATACATATGCTGACAATGCATACTTTTGCATCGTTGCACATTGCTTATCTTTGAATACCTAGAATTAAGCTCAAACGGTTATGTGCAATTCCTTATTTTACTACCGCAGTTACGCGACATGCATTAAAATGCGTATTTAGTAAATAAGACTATTTTTCACGAACGTTTCAATCATAGTTTGGTGAAAACGGAAATGTTCCGTGTTCCGATTCACCCTAACATACTGTGGCACGTCAATTAACATTCCCATAAAACACATAATTTATCAAACTAACGTGCCCGCAATCACAAAGACCCGGATCGTACCTGTCTACCATAAGCGTTTGGACAGAGCATCTACCAAGTAGACTAGCCAAGCCGTGTTCATTTTCTAGCTCTAGCGTCCACCAGCATCAACTAGCGGCCAGCACCTTGGGCTTTTGACTGCGTATACTCTCCTGACCGTAGCGTCGCTGAGCCTCTCGGAGAAACGCCTTCACCATATGCCGCACCACCTCGTCGAAGAACATGTTGGCCAACTTAGAGTGAAGAGCCGAACGGAACTCGAAGGAGACGGAAAAGTCCAGCGTACAGGTGCGCGGGTTGGAGGACAGGCCGGGCGCGAACTTCCACTCGGTCAGTAGGTGGTTGAACATGCGGCCCTCCGTGCAGACGGCCTTGACGAGGTGCGGCCGGGCCAGAGTGACGCTGGAGACGTACGACTCGCGCACGGGGCCGAACCCGATGGCCATGTGGGCCTTCAGGAAGCTGGGCCGCCGGGACAATACGGTGCACTCGGTGCAGTAGGGCACGAACGTGGTGTAGTCCTCCACCCGCGAGACGATGTCGTACATCTGGTCCATCGAGTACCTGCGCGTAGACGACACACACAGCGGGCATTACTTCGACGGCAGAGCCGGTAGAGGGAATCGGGATCGCATCATACAGATTGCAGAACAAGCTGGTGCAACTGGAGCTCCATACCAACATTGAAACTGTAAATGCATACAAACATCAAACAAATGACCCACAATTTCACATATTCCGATCATCTCAACATACCCGAGAAGGCGTCTCTCCGAGTACTCTCGCTTCTTGTTGTCGGCGCCGGGCAGAGTGAAGACTGAGCGGGTCTGACACGGCCTGAAGGCGTACTCGGCTGCTGAGCAGTGGGACCCTCTCATACGGCCCGCAAACAGTTGTGGTGTTCGTCTGGTAAGCACATTTTATGTTAAGGTCACGACACTTAGAATGCAATAGAATACCTAGCGAATTCAATAGAATGCGTTCATTTTACGTACACTCATAGTATGAATGTAGTGAGATTTCACCTGACCAATTCACCTGGGCCCCGTTTCACCGGTGATAGCAGCATGCTGCTATTACAGTGTCAAATTGGGATTCCATGGAAACGTCAACAAGCCTATTTCTCCAACACTACTAGAAGTGTGACATCAGCTCGCGAAATGGAATAGCAGCGTGATGCTATCACCGGTGAAACAGGGCCCTGGTTGGTTTGCCATTTTCGTTCTGAGCCCAAAACATGGTAAGGAAATCGAGAACGATATTTAGGAACCCTGATCAAAAGATGCACCAGCCCAGTTAGACACCCAGCTCACAAGATAATAAAAATGCATATTATGACTGGAATTTGACATCTTCAATGAGCATGACCATACCAATACTATGATCTTATCGACAGCACCACATATCAATATCATTTATCATTGGTAGCTGCGCAATGAGCGTATGTCTAGAAAACTATACAACCACCAGTCAAATGTGTGACAGAAGTTTCTGATATATTGAATTGACATCTTTACTTGAATACTTGAAAAGATAAATATACACCTACCTCCATTTATCCGCAAGTGTATTGCAACAGACACGGACATCCTCCCTTGATAATAAGCCGATATTCCTCACTGTTGAATGCCGAAACAACGAAAATCGATGCATCCAGACGATTAGAAAGATGTGAAAAATGAAGTAGCAATTCAAATATCAATCAAAATTCTCACAGACGTCTCCAATTCACGAATGCACAAAGATGACCTACAAAGGAGAGAATGCGCCTACAAATAAACAAGCCAGTCAGCTGACTGTCAGGAACTAAGGTATTTTTACAAATGTCGACAGGAACTTGCAGCTCACTAGTGATATTCTAATAGCTCTCTAGATTTTTGTTTTCGTGGCTCATCCTGAAATATACGCATCCTGAAAATATTCACATTTTTTAGATAAGAGCTGACGATTGTAGATAAATTATATACTTTCGCCCTCTATTTCAAACCAAGCATAACATGCCTATTTTGTAGAAGCAGCCTATTTAAAATCTTAAATTCCAAGAAAACGCAAAACAGGAAAATCGGAAATAGAGAAATGTTATGGGAAATGTCTCTAGGTTGATGCCATTTTCTGACACTTTCCGTTGACATTTAAAAATCCCGTGAGCTATCTTAGCTCCAATTAGCTCTAAGCTATTAGCTCGCTGCTTAGATATATGGCCTTGGATATACGCGCCCGTGCGCGCCTGTTCGCCCGTTTAGCTCCTGGTCTGGTTAAAAACATACACTGTGTTAAAAACTATATGAGAACATTTGTTCATCGGGGAACAGGCGCAGAACACACAGTGCTCATGCCTCATTGTAATGCTTCTCTGAATGACTCATGAATGACTGGTACACTCGGGGGCAGATTGATGTTCCACCACTCCCTACCCATCGGGCTCCCATGGCTCAGCACTGGCTGCTGCCAGTGGCAGCACTGGCAGTACTGGCACTGGCACGCAGTGCTGAGCAGTGCTGAGGGCAGGCAACACCGGCAGCAGCAAGTGCTGAGCCATGGGAGCCCGATGGGCTGGGAGTGGTGGAACATCAATCTGCCCCCGAGTGTACCTATGTCATGAATTCTTTGGGTCAGGGTAGATCATAGATGAGGTGTAAGATGAAGATATTTGGAGTGGTATTGTTATTATTTAATCATATTTTGTCGGGCACAAGTCAAGAATCCTTTGAAGTTCAGCATATCGAGGACTGTCATTTGACACAGTTTTTCAGCACCACTACCTACCAATGTACGGAATGCGGCAAGTTTCAAGTTCATTCAAAAGATGGTGAGATGCTTATATTTTTTGACAAGATTGTGTCTTGCATCACTCAGTTGGAATATAATGATATGTATGCATATTAGGTTATTTGAAACTGATTCATAGACATATTTTCCTATTCTTACAAAGATCCTGCATTATTTCCAAGTCACATTTTTAACCTGAGCCTTGAGTATAAAATAAATCAATCAAGCATGGCTAAGACATATTTATGACTGGGCATGACTGTGTCCCTCAGGACTTGAGTGTGTCTGTGAGCCTGGCTACTGGCAGACATACGAGTCAGTCTCTGGCCAACTGTCATGTGTTGGTTGCCCTCCTGAGCATGTCACCTCCAAAGATGGCCTGGACTGCATTCGTTGTGAGTCCCCGCTGGCCTATGATGCCACCACCAAGACCTGCACACCATGCCCAAATGGCACAGTGCAAGGTGAGTAACTACTAGTGAAATGGTCATGTTATTTGCTTTATTTGGTGCCATTTGGTTGTAGGCAGCCCATTTTTTTTTAAGATATAAGATCTTGTATGACTTTGATTTCATATTGGTACATCATGTAGAAGTTGCCAGGCTTGCTGTATCAGCTTCTTTGGCCATGTCAGGGCACCTCAATCTGCCTCATTAATCTCTGTAGCTAAGCAGGAGTACAAATGGCAGGGAAGTTTCCTTCATCTATTCACATTTCACACAGATATGGATCTTTAAGACCAGCTGATTATCCTAATGAATAGCAGCTGTCTCTGGTCCAATTGGGTAATGGTCACTGGATTTTACTAGTATTTTAAGCTCAGGAGATGGGTCCAGGCTCCAGTGACTCATAGTGTTGGCAGTGATCCTACTCCTGACAAATTTTTCTTACAAATTTATTTCATGTCATGATATTGCATTATCCTGGTGCTGATCGGACCAGTGCGGTGCCTGGCCGCCGACCTGATGGCGTGTGTCGCCTGTCCCCAGTGGAGCTGACGCCCAACGGGACGCGGCGCGCGCGCGGCTGCCTGCGCTGCGGCGCCGAGGCGGAGCCGGCCGCCGACGGTTCCGCTCAGTGCCACCGGTGCGACCGCTCGCTGCTGGCGGCGTCCGGCTCGTGCCGCTGTCCGGACTCGCACCTGCTGCTGTCGGGCGTCTGCCTGAGCTCCTCCCAGCTCAACCAGGTGACGTACGCGTGCAGCTACCACGGGACCTCACCCACCCGGACCACGGGAACTTGCCGTCGCGTAGCCGCTGATCCCGGACCGGACGACCGACAATGGCCGTTGGCGTCACTTATAAATGTGGCGTGGCTGATAAATTCGTTTAATTTTGAATGTATGCATAGTATTGTGCGGACATCACACTGCATCCGAATTCTGACGTCTCCATTTACGCTGTACCTTGTCTCGGTCGGTCAGCGTGTATGTCAGTGTGTTGCTGCAGGTCATCATGTCTGTGTCCTCGGTTTCAGGTGCCCGCTGAGGCCTCCATGTACACCATCGACTTCGAGGACGGCACGACCATCGACTCTGCGTTTTTCCGCCGCCACAGTCGCGCCGCCGCCTTCCTCTGTCGAGTAAGGATCCATCAGTGTTGCTCCCGTCCTGTTCTGTCAGCGGAGCATCGCAGTTTACCGCAATTCTTATCGTACGTTATTTCTACATGCCTTGGAAATTTTAACCTCGGGTCTTTCAGGAAAACAGTAGGTGCTGAAATTGGAAACGCTAACTTAACACATCTGTTTTTTAAATTTTTAATTATATTTTATGAGAATGTTGGAAGTTTACTAATAATGTTTAATTGTTCTTATTTTACATACGTGACCTGGGGTCTGCACTTCCCGCAGTTCCGTCACAACATATCGGCGTGCCACCTGCTGGCCAACCTCTGCGCGATCACCATGTACTCGGAGCGGTCGGCGGCGGCGCCGTGCGGCCAGCTGCGCCAGCTGGCCTCGGGTCGCCAGCGACCGCCGGCTCCACACCTGCCCTGGCTGTTCTATGAGGAGGACGAGGCGCCGACGGTGCTGAGCCGCAGCCGCATCTCCCAGGAGTACACCGTGCAGCGAGACCTACAGGTGGGACCCCAGGAGTACACTGTGCAGCGTGACCGCCAGGTATGACCCACAGCAGCTCCCATGTCTGTGTATCTCCCAGGAGTATATACACCGCGCAGCGGGACCGCCAGGTGGGACCCCAGGAGTACACTGTGCAGCGGGACCGCCAGGTGGGACCTAAGGGGCTCACTGTGCAGCGGGACCGCCAGGTAACTAGGTAACGCCAGGTAACCCGCAACTGCCGCGGAGAGACGAACGAGGCTATGGGTTTTCGCCTGGGCGATGGTTCATCTCTGCATGTGTGTAGCACGGGAGGTGCCGTCTGTGCTGCGGTGATAAAAGTAGGAATGTGGCATCGGAAGGGGAGAGTGGTGGGTGTTCTACTGTTCTGGGGAGGGCAAACTGAGGCTGGAAGAGTGATTATTAAACCGTTGGAACACATCTACTCGTAAACTGCGGGAAGCAGAGTCTACCGTTCCGAACCTTTCTCCAGAGTTTAACCCGACGGTGACTCAGTTTAGCGCCTACTGTTGGGCTTTAACCGTCGCCCTGTTTTGTAGAACTTCTACCTGAACCTCATGCCGTGGTGCGGCTCAGCACCAACTGCCGGCTCCAATTAATCATCCTCCACCTGTCCCCAGAGCTCGTACCTGAACCTGACGGTGGCCCGGTTCACCGCCGACGGCCGGCTGTTCTGATTTTAACTGTCCACCTGTTTCGCAGAGCTCGTACCTGAACCTGACGGTGGCGCGGTTCAGCGCCGACGGTCGACTGCTGGGCCGGACACCGCTGGACTCTGTCCGCTCCAGCGTCTGTCCGCAGCTGTCGGCGGCTCTGCGCAGCGCCACCAGGTATGGGGATGCCACCGGCCCTGGTCTGCCGTCCGAGCGGGACTGATCACCGTACATCGGCCATGGTGTGACATTCTTCCGTCTGTTCAAAGCTCAGCTGGTCGTCAGAGTGTTTTGTGTTTTACGGCCAATTGCCAAAAATACTGGCTTTGTTAACCGTGTTATTCCGCCCTGTTGTGTGGCCAGCGATACTGGCCGCTTTTTTGTCGGACCTCTGTTAGCTGTGCGTTTGTGCCGTTTGCCGCGTGTCTTTACTGTGTGCTGTATTATAACTGCACCGCTGACTGTGTAGTGTGTGGCCAGGTTCGGCTCTCGGTTCGAGCACACCTGTACACTGAGCGGCCGTGACCTTCTGGAAGCAGGTCCGCCCGAGTTCTTCGAGCTCTACCTGCAGTACCACGCCGACGAGGTAGAATGGCTGTACGCCATCCCCGTGCGCGTGCTCAACTACCGCAGAAACGGACGGTATGTCAACCAGGTGAGTGCCGTCGGCGGCTTTGTGACTAACTTTGGACTGCGTGACTCTATGACTGACTGTGCGTATGGCTCTTCGTCTGCACGACTGCGTCTGTGTGACTGTATGACGGACTGACAATTATGACAGACCGCGTCTGAACTCCCCTCCTACTCGGCAGGCCGAGGACCGCCACCGCTGGCAGTTCGGGCAGACAGCGGCTGACCGCCCCTCGTTCTCGATAGGCCGAGGACCGCCACCGCTGGCAGCTGGTGCACCGGTTCTTCCTGGTGGACGCTGTGTCTTCAGTACCGTCGGCGGGAACTGGCGAGCAGCCCGGGCCGCAGCTGGTCCAGTACGTGCGCGACGTTCACCTCCAGTGAGTACTGAGTACCGTAAACATTTACCTTCAGTGGGTACGGCGAACTTTTACCTTCGCTGTCAAGGAACCGCTCGCCCGGCTGTCCGCCCGCCGTCTGCAGGCCAGTTTACGGAAAGCTGTTTAACATCAGCTCAGCTTTGAGCTTTATTAGGGCTACAATCTCGTAACGCTTAACAAATATGGAAAATTAAACGCATTTTATACGCCCGGACATGAAGGAGGTCAGTATCAGACTCACACGGTCCCGCAGTGCTGACGTCGCTCCCCGGCCCCTCAGGGTGGAGATGCGCTCGGAGGCCGGCCGGCCCGGTCGGATCGCCCCGCCGCTGCTCACCCTCGGCTACGGCCTGGTACCGGCGGAGCGGGCGGCCGCCGGCGGCCTCCCCGTCCGGGTGCGCGTCAGCTACAGCGTGGACATGTCGGATGCACGGGAGCAGATCGAGGTGAGACAGGGAACGGGACCGTTAGCAGCACGGCATCAGACGCTGCTGGCGTACCGTTCTGCCGACTCGTAACGTAAGTTCAGCGCGATAGCCGGTGGGAGTGATATCTCCCGTTCGCCTGCGTGATACCGTCTGTTTGTTCACGGTTGTGACGTGTTCCATCCGCCCATTTGCAACCAGTGACATCTGTACACCACTGAGCAGTGCAGACTGTTGTGATACGTGGCGTCAGCTGTTCTCCTCTACCTCTGTCGTCCATCCGCTGTGACCAGCGCCGCCCACTCTGACCTCGCCGTCAGCTCTGCTGTCCACCCGCTGTGACCTGTGCCGTCTGCCCGCTGCCAGGTTGCCGTCGGTGTGATGAGCGCCTTCGCCGTCGTCTGGGCCATCTTCCGTACCTGGGCCTGGAGCAGCCGGAACGGAAAGACGGAGGTGGACGTCCCCACGCTGGTACGTGCACTGTCAGTGGTCCCTGCTCCTATAGTCTGTTCCACTTAACTTCAGCATTCACTCCAAGATAGCTGTTCGATAATGCACGAGCGAGAATAGTTTTTAGTAAAAATCGAACACACCAGACAGGGAATTTCGAGCGCCGCCAAAGTGCGGGAGGTGCCACTGAGACCCGTGGCGCAATGTCTGTCATCTTTGGCTCTTTAGAACCGTTGCTTTTCCTGCGGCTCTATGGCTACTGCACAGCCGACAGTTAACCCGCGCGGGGCTGGGGTCTCCAGCCGAACGCGCGGGGCTGGGGGGGGGGTAAATTTTACCCCCCCTGTTATCTCCCGAACTAATGGTCCGATTTGGAAAATTCAAACGCCAATCGAAAGCTCTCATCACGAACTACTATAAACCTGTACTTAATTTAAAGTTTGAGGTCAAGGTCAAGGTCAGGTCAAGGGTACAAATTGCAAGTTTCTACAGTGTCGGCCTTGCACCGTAGTTGCCGAAGAATGGAGTCATGGACTGAGACTGATCGCCCAAAACGTGTTCTTAGGCTACCAAGACAATATTCGTTGCATACAATATCATTCAGAGGTCAAGGTCAAGGTCAGGTCAGGTCAGGTCAGGTCAGGTCACCAAAAAACAAAATATAGAAAAGGGCATGTGCGACACATGTTTTATGGGTCATTTTACTCATAGAATTCAATAGGCACACTCAATAAGTGATATGGACCACCTCTGGATGAATTTCAGGTCGAGGTCAGGTCAAGGTCAGGTCAAGTGAGGTCAAATTTTGAAGTTGGTTGTTAAGGCCTAAAAAGGTGTCTATCTGATGCAGTTTTTCACGGCGAATCGAATGGTGCTATTTTTGTTTCCGTACGAGGTCTAGAACTTCCAAAAAAGTCATTTTTCAAAAAATTTGTGTGTCGTGACGTCATAAAATTTTGAATAACTCCCACATTTTTGAACCGATTCTTCTAAAATTTGGTATGTAGGTGCACATAGACCACTTCTCTTGACATATATTCCGGTTTTTTCGATAGACTCAAAATTTTGGATTTTATAATGATTTTCCCAAAAAAGTCAGTTTTTTGAAAAAATTTAGGCCAAAATCCAAAATTTTCAAAAAACCGAGAGTGCCATTTGATAGACAAAGTAAAATTACGTATAACCTTTTTTGTTACGTCTTGATTCCTTTAAAAATGAAGATGTTAGCGGCGTTTGAACTTTTGCCGTTTTTGAGGCGAAAATGGCGAACATGACGTCACTAAAACGTCAATTTCTCAAAAATTTTCCGACGGATTTCGCTCAAATTTTCAGGGAACGTGTCAAATTGATGTAAGAAAAGGTACTGAAAGTTTGGCGGCGCTGCGCGCCGCCGTTTTTGAGATATCGCAAAAATTCGCGAGGGGGGGTAAAATTTACCCCCCCCCCAGCCCCGCGCGGGTTAATTTTTAGGACAGATGGTAAGCTCCAATCTAAATGTCTCTTATGCTCCCCCATGTACAAAACCACTAAAAAAACCCGTTCGTCACAGAGGACTGAGTATATTATGGAAACACCAGACGCGACCAAGTGTACAACGCAGGGTGGGCGGTTGCAGTTACAATCGTTCAGTCGGAGAAGATATAACGCACAATACTTATACAGGTCCAAAAACAACGAACACCTGACGAACATCACCAAGCATCATTCCTCATCACTGTCGCTGTCGGAGCTCGAATCCTGCAATGACACTACCACAGGATCGATGTCCTCCAGCATGCCATCAGCACGCCAGTATGCCTCCTCCAGTTCCTGCACATGGCGGCAGCAGTTACGCCACATGTCCGTTGTGGTGGCGTCCCGGCTCTCGAGCAGCAGCCTTTCGATGTCCTGGAGATGCCCAGAGGTGTTCAGCTGGCGGACGTGGGACTTCATATGTGCCCAAATCATTTCAATTGGGTTAAGGTCACAATGGTAGGGTGGCAGCCTCAGAACTTCGTGACCTGCTTCTTGCGCCAGCATGTCAAGCACGTACTCGCGTGCCTGTCGGAGAGGACGCACAAGCTCGAGCAGCTCCACCTTCCGCATGCCCGGATCAATCTCGACGTGATGGACCTGAAGCCATTCTTGGATAGCTGCCTTCCGCCAGCTTGATGTGGGAGCTTTGTTCGCGCATCGTGAGTGGTATGACGCGTTGTCCATGACTATGACGCTATGAGGTGGTAGGTTTGGTAGCAGCTGTTGCGTGAACCAGGTCTCGAAGCAGTCGGAGTTCATGGACGTGTGGTAGTCAGCTGACTTGCCATCTGTCCTCATGCACATGTATGCTTCTGAGACGAATCCTTTCTCAGATCCAGCGTCGACTATGATAAGTCGTTTTCCCTTCCCAGTCACTGGTTTCTGGCCGACCACCTCATCATCGTCCAACCATGCAACCGTTTTCATATCGAACTGGTTATACCAAGTTTCATCCAGATAAAAGATATTTCGATCCGGGTTTTGCTGTCTTATCTTTTGAATTCGCCTGAGGAAAGTGTTTCTTGCGGCGACCACCTGAGGCTTTTCGATCAGCAGCTTTCGGTTGTTCACTTCCCTGAACTTGAACCCGTTCTGCAATAGCTGCCTTCGAAGTGTTGATCGAGAGATGGTCTTCCCGAGTTGTTCTTGCACCGCTGCTTTCATCGTGTCCAAAGTGACCTTTTTTCCGTCCAAATACATAGCATGCACCATTCTTCTTAGCGCACATTGCTCAAAGTCGTCCAGGTACTCGCGTCGCATCCTGTTCGGTCGCTTGCGGACTGGAGACTGGCATCCGTGTGTCTCCGCCTCTTTTTTCACCGCTTGGACAGACGAGATAGACACTCCAGTAGCCAAACTTGTCTCTTGTGCTACATTGATACTTGCAGCGGCTCTCTCATCACCTTGCTTGAGATGTTCATCTTTCTTATTAGTAAAATATTTTTAGACATTGTATATTGTTTGCCTGGTTTGTGCACCAAGTGGCTTTCCTTGCCGAAGTTTTGAAAACATTTAACAGTAGCTGTATCAACACGATAATATTTTAAACTACCCTTTATAAAAATGATGTTATTAAATACGTTTCAAATAAAAAATCAGTATCACCTGATATTTTACGGACTTATCTGGGCTACCAATGACCAAGACCAAACATACCAAATTGATACCAAAGTGACTTGTCCGTCAGAATTTCGCCGCAGCCAAGATTACTAGAGCCGCAGGGCTGTCTCATCCCTATCTCCGTAACGTGTCGTGTGCGACCAATGACGTCACGGCATTGCGGCGTTCTGATTGGGCGGCAGCTCCGAATCGCCCGACTGGTGGTCCCCGCTCGACAAGCGCACGTGCGCCGACTAGGCATTTGTAGTGGCATTGACAGCAGAAAAAGTAAGCTAATGCAGAGCCCTGAATATACTTGAATAGAGTCTAAGCCATTAGTAATACGTAACAACGTCAGATAGGTTTCTTGTTCGTCTTGATTCGAGGTTTTATGTGATGTAATTTTTACCTTAGTGTCGAGTCTGTCAGCTATGTGGGAGAGCCCTAAAGTTGGGTCATTTTCCATAGGATTGCATTACAGCCGTCCGACCCTTCGTACCTGTGACGTCACGGAAATCGCTGCTTCGGCCTAATGAGCATACCTTCTATATAGGGCCTTGCTAGAGCCGCAGCCTTGGCTGCAGCTCTGCTCGATTTTCTTAAGTATGCTGTAATGTCGCGTGCTTAATGAGCCACGCATCTTGGAGTGAATGTTGAAGTTAAGTGGAACAGACTATAGTGGTATCAGTTCTCCGTGTCCAGTACGGTCTTTGTGGTCCCTATCCAGTGGTGCCAGTGACAAGTAAACCCCCTGATGGTCACAGTATTCCTTCGTGTGTGATGTCACCCAGTTTGTTCTCGCTTCTCGGTGAGCTTATCAAAGGTCATCTCCGTTCACAGTTCCCTGACTTTTGTATGAAATCCATCGATTTCCACTTCTTTTCTCTCATTCCCTGGTAAAATTTTGCTCTGGTATTATTCCCCATCAGTCATGGTATCAGGATGTCAACAGTGGTGGGTGATACCTCTGAGGTCACTAATCGATGCACGACCGCAGATACACCTCCTGGTGTGCTGCTGCGGCAGCCTGGCCAACGTCTTCCTCCTGGTGATGTTCTGCACCTGCTTCTACTGGTTCATATTCTTCAAGCGCCAGGAGGTGGCTTACAGCCTGCTACCGACGCCCGAGCAGGAACGCTTCGTGCGAGACATCGTCATCTCGGCATTCGTCCTGAAGGTATGTTAACCCGCGCACCGACGGGGGTCTGCGCCAACTTAGTACCGACGGGGGGGGGGGCGGATGACCGCCCCCCCCCCCTGAGATCTCGAGAACGAAGCAAGATAGCGACAAGCGGTAAACGGCATCGGATACGCACGGTCAAGATCTACAATTTTTGCTAAGGTCATTTTCAGGTCAGGTCAAAGATGACGTCACAGGGGTCGAAAAAGTCAAAATGGCGGCGCTAAATATGGAGAGAGTTTTTCTCGAATAACTTTCGAATTAGTCAAGATAGGAACAAACTAAGGGCATCATCGTGATCCTCTCGTCAATCCGCATCGAATGATATATATGTTGACCTCGAAAGGTCAAGGTCAAAGGTTGACCTCAGGTCACGTGACCTCGAGGTCATCATGTATATCATTCGATGCGTCTTGACGAGCTGAACACAATGAGACCATCCACGCGTCTGTATCTTGTTCCTGTATGGAGTTATTGGCCAAAAACCTTTGGTGACCTTTGATGACGTCACATGACCTCACAGCTGCCCAACAGCAAAACAGACCTCAAGGTAGTGAAGGTTGATCGTATATGAAGTCATGTATGGTATATGGGGCCATTCCGACCCGTTTTAGTGGTAAAAACAGGGAGTTGATTTTTCCCCCATTGACTTATAATGGGGAGGTCGCGAAATTGACCTGACCTTAGGTCACCGATATCAAAATTCCGAGATATACAAATTGTAGCTACTAATGACCTAATAACATCCTGCGACTTTCAAAGGCCTCCGACATCTACTGTAGCTCTGGCACGGTGACAAAGTTGCAAAAAAGTGACTTGAGGTTGGGTCATTCAAAGTGACCTGGTGACCTGACCTTGAAAGGTAGGAGGTTCAAACTTGCACACCATGTGTAAAATTGATAAGGGAATAGTCATACCAAATTTCGCGGCGCTACGCGCCGCGGTTTTCCCGCTATTTGCGAAAAACCTCAGGGGGGGCGGATATCCGCCCCCCCCCCCCGTCGGTGCGCGGGTTAACATATTTCGTGTGTTTAAGTCCACGGGCAGCCGCACGTACTCCTTTGACTCCCATCTGTGGCCCACCAGCCCTTGTTCTGCCTTTTCCCCGCTATGTCCTTCTCGTCTTGATCACCTCTTCTTCTTGGCTGTATTTTTTTTTTTTCAAGTACTTACAGTTGTTGCGGTGTGCTCTGTTGACCAGCTGTCTTTATGCAGTCTTTATTTGCAACTCTGACCTGTTACGCGGGTCTGTGTTGTCCTCGGCAGACGGCGGACGTTATTTGGCTTCTGTGGCATCAGGTGACCGTCAGTCTGTTGTACTTTTGTTCTCAGACAGCGGACGTTATTTGGCTGCTGTGGCGTCAGGTGACCGTCAGTCTGTTCCTCCTCGACTGGGAGCGGCCCAAGGCTCGCTCGTCGCTGCCCCACCCGCATCTGCCGGCCGGCGCCGACGGCTCGGGAACGGTCAGTCACACTCAAGCCGGGCGACCGCCGGACGGCCGATGTATGTCTGTAACGAGATGATGGTCACTGGGTGCCTGGTGGTCGCTGCGTGGAGATGGCCTTCTCAGGATCGGCATGAGAACGCGCAGATACGATATTAATTGTTTGAAGGAATAAACTACCATTATAACCAAAGTATAACGCCTTTTGAGGCGACTAACGGAGCGAGCGAGAAGGTGGGCCTTGCACGTGCGAAATTGCGAGGGGGTACCTCCAACTGATTTGTGCACGGCACCCTACTAACCGGCCTCTAGCGATGTGCCAAATTTGGGCACAATCGGCCCAGCCATTCTCGAGATCTGGAAGCGGCACCCTGCACGTGCGCACGTGCAAAATGGGTCCCAACTGACTTGTGCACGGCACCCTACTAACCGGTCCCTAACTGTATACCAAATTTGAGCGCAATCGGTCGAGCCGTTCTCGGGATCTGGAAACGACCCCTGCACGTGCGCACGTGCAGCAGCGCCCCAACTCTGGCACATGGATATGCAGTGCCTAGTGGGTGCCTACCTACATGCCAACTTTCAGCGCAATCGGCCAAGTAGTTACCGAGATATTGCAACAATTACAAAACGGACACCTTCGTTTTGCACGTGGCACGTGCATAAGGGGTCACCCACATGCATCAGGAATAGTCCAATACTTGGTAGAAGGAATGAAGCTACCCTACAAAAATTACCGCTTGTAAATCGGTCAAGTGGTTGTTGAGATATAAGCCTCGCAAAAGCGTGACCACGGCCGGCAGGCTGGCCGGCCGGCCGGCCGCTCATTACGGAGCGAGCGAAGCGAGCGTAGTCTTTCCTTAGATTAACGGAAATTTCTGAGTATGAGCGGCCGGCCGGCCGGCCGGCCGGCCGTGGTCACGCTTTTGCGAGGCTTATATCTCAGCAACCACTTGACCGATTTACACGCGGTAATTTTTGTAGGGTAGCTTCATTCCTTCTACCAAGTATTGGACTATTCCCGATGCATGTGGGTGACCCCTTATGCACGTGCCACGTGCAAAACGAAGAGGTGTCAGTTTTGTAATTGTTGCAATATCTCGGTAACTACTTGGCCGATTGCGCTGAAAGTTGGCATGTAGGTAGGCACCCACTAGGCACTGCATATACATGTGCCAGAGTTGGGGTACTGCTGCACGTGCGCACGTGCAGGGGTCGTTTCCAGATCTCGGGAACGGCTGGACCGATTGCGCTCAAATTTGGTGCACGGTTAGGGACCGGTTAGTAGGGTGCCGTGCACAAGTCAGTTGGGACCCATTTTGCACGTGCGCACGTGCAGGGTGCCGCTTCCAGATCTCGAGAACGGCTGGGCCGATTGTGCCCAATCGGCCAAATTTGGCACATCGCTAGAGACCAGTTAGTAGGGTGCCGTGCACAAGTCAGTTGGAGGTACCCCCTCGCCTCGCAATTTCGCACGTGCAAGGCCCACCCTCTCGCTCGCTCCGTTAGTCGCCCCAAAAGGCGTTATACTGGTACTCAGAAATTTCCGTTAATCTAAGGAAAGACTACGCTCGCTTCGCTCGCTCCGTAATTAGAAGTTTGTTTGAAGACCGTTTTATGATCACCTTAGCAATGTGATTACGGAGCGAGCGAAGCGAGCGTAGTCTTTCCTTAGATTAACGGAAATTTCGGAGTATGAGCGGCCGGCCGGCCGTGGTCACGCTTTTGCGAGGCTTATATCTCAGCAACCACTTGACCGATTTACACGTGGTAATTTTTGTAGGGTAGCTTCATTCCTTCTACCAAGTATTGGACTATTCCCGATGCATGTGGGTGAGCCCTTATGCACGTGCCACGTGCAAAACGAAGAGGTGTCAGTTTTGTAATTGTTGCAATATCTCGGTAACTACTTGGCCGATTGCGCTGAAAGTTGGCATGTAGGTAGGCACCCACTAGGCACTGCATATACATGTGCCATAGTTGGGGTGCTGCTGCACGTGCGCACGTGCAGGGGTCGTTTCCAGATCTCGGGAACGGCGGGACCGATTGCGCTCAAATTTGGTACACGGTTAGGGACCGGTTAGTAGGGTACCGTGCACAAGTCAGTTGGGACCCATTTTGCACGTGCGCACGTGCAGGGTGCCGCTTCCAGATCTCGAGAACGGCTGGGCCGATTGTGCCCAAATTTGGCACATCGCTAGAGACCAGTTAGTAGGGTGCCGTGCACAAGTCAGTTGGAGGTACCCCCTCGCAATTTCGCACGTGCAAGGCCCACCCTCTCGCTCGCTCCGTTAGTCGCCCCAAAAGGCGTTATACTGGTAAAATACATTAGCGTTTTTACACCACATCGACAGACAGTTGGCCAGCTCCCGATTTTGTCGTATGACTGATGTACGTACTCGGTCAGTTTCAGGGTACCGACTCCTCGATCCTGTCCCAGCCGGTGTTCTGTACTGAGTACGGCGGCACTCAACCGGTACAGGTACTTACCGCTGTCCCCGGCCTCTTTGTCCCCCTTTGCCTCTTTGTGTACCTCCCCGGCCTGCAGTTACCCAGTATCTGCCGCCCTGTTCCGCAGTACCTAGCCCTAGCACCTACTCTCCAGTGCCTACTCGCAGAGTCTAACCCTCAGTTCATACCTGCCCCTCCCCCTCCCCGGAACGTACCCTCGGCTCCAGTACCCACTTCCAGAACCTATACCTTAGTGCCTAGTTACCGCTGTGCCGTATCGAGCATCTCTCCCTTTACCGGCTGCCGGGCCGCTACCCACAGGTGAGCATCTGGCGCACCTACTTCATTGCCAACGAGTGGAACGAGCTGCAGACCCAGCGGCGCATAAACCAGACCTGGCAGCTGATGATGGTGCTCTTCGCGCTGGAGGTCAGTCCCGCGGCCGCGGCGGGGTCCGGTCGGCCGCTGGACATGCGCATTGTGTTCTGCGTGACTGCAGAATTCTATGCTTTGTACAATGTACATTGTGCAATCGCAAGATGCAGGTGCAATGTAATCTATAATGTATTATCATATGAGGGGTTTTATGGCGGGCAGTACCATAGGAGGTCGGGCGTTGTAGTCGACAAGTGTATATGCGATGCATAGTGCATACTGACTGACTGATTCTGACTGCACTGATACGCACATCGACTTGAAGTGACTCTCAGTCGGTCAGCTCAATTTTCTGACCATCTCCTCCCACTTTGCCACGTACCTGACCACTCCCGCCCCTCTGTCTCCCCTCAGATAATCGGTTTTATCGATCTGGGCAGCGCGGAGCCGGACAGCGGGATGTCGCTGGAGCCGGGCCAGCCGGCGGCGCCGCAGTCGTTCGTCTGCCGCTTCAGCGTCATCGTGCTGACGTACGGCACGGTGACCGCCCTGCAGGTGAGTGCTGTGAGCGGGGCCCGGGTCTGTGCCCAAACTCTACCTCATCATTGGCGTCGACTTGTCGAGCTGTGGATGAGACTCCTAGGACGCTCAGGACTGTTTATTGCTGCTAGTTATATCTCAATGCTCGACCAGCTGTTCTCGAATCGAAGGCCGAGTTTTCGTTGTGAGCAGTATCATAGCAGTATCTGTAAGGTGTAGTGTGATAACACGTTGCGCTGTGCCGCCGTCAGTGGATGTTCAACGGTCTGCTGTACGAGCGGTTCGTGGAGAACAAGATGCAGCAGTTTGTGGATCTGTGCTCCATCTCCAACATCAGCCTGTTCATCCTGTACGAGCGCAACTACGGCTACTACATCCACGGCAGGTACGGAGTGGCGCCAGGACGCCGGAAGGGGCTCAACGAAGCGCTGATCAGTAATCACTGCTCCTCACCTCATAATGCAGTGTTGATAACGTGCTGTCAGTCTTGACGATGTTCATAGGTTGTGCAACATTGGGGGAAAAGGTCCTAAATGGTCGTAAAATGACGGTTTTCACGTTATATTGTCGAAGTTATAATGTGGGGTAGGAAGTGGAGTCATAATTACTATTCATTCATGAACCCTTTAACAGAAATATCTCTTTCTATGATCGGATGATTCATGCTGAGAATGACAGATGTGACATGTCCGAAAGTCAAACCTTGGCTGACGCATGACCAAGCCGCCGCCGTGTTCGCTCCAGGTCGGTGCACGGTCACGCGGACGCCGACCTGTCGGGCCTGTACGAGCAGCTGCAGCGCGAGCAGGAGGACCTGTGCTCGCGGCGCGGCCTGGTGCCCGGCGCCGACCAGCAGACCTTCCAGCTGATGCTGCCTAATACCTTCCGGCTGCACTACGACGACCTGCTGGCGCCCATGCAGCGGGTTAGTGTTGGGTGGAACTGACACCCGCCGACATATTATACAGGGCCAATCCGGAGCTTTATGGGCGGGGCCGGTCTGTCTCACCTCTACCGTCTTCCCTTCTCGCTCGCTCCTCCTTCATCTCTGAGTGTGACAGTGGTGGGCCCCGTCATGGAGCGCTATCGTATCCACTAACCCTGTGATGTATGCCCACTGACTCACTAATATTTATGTCCATCAGAAGTCGGGCGGCCACCCCGCTCAGCGTCCGTCGGGCGGCGCCGGAGACTCCTCCAGCGGCCCTCCTGCCGAGCAGCACCCCAGCATCCAGGCATACAACACCATCAACAGGTTCCTGGCCGCATTCATCGAACACGTGAGTGTCGCCTGTCTAAGTTAATGCGCTGGTAAAGCGAAGAGCAGCGAGCAGCGAGCAGAACGATACGCACAATGTGCATTATCACTGGTCCGTATGCTTTGAGGCCTTGTCCGTTGTATAATTGGTCCGTTGCGTTGCAATATTGTGCATTGGAACCATAATGTGCTGTTTTGTCTGCTTCGCAGGCTATCAAGGAACTGGACTACACGGTCAAGGATAAGAAGTTTATTGAATCGATGATGGACATTGAGTTTGCCGACCCGGACGAAAAAGGAGTCTTCTACAACGGTCAGTGAAATACGGAACAGTTCACTCCCACATTTTCCACGCGCTGAACTCTGCCACGTTACCTTTATTTTGGGGTTGAACTAAGCCGCTATGAATTTGCGTAACCGATGGACATATGAGTGACTGTACAAACTACAGTACTTGCTTTGGCTGACTTCAACTGACCCCGCCATTTATAATTTTGTGGCGAAAGGGATGCTGATTGGTCTCACCTGGTCCCGCCGTGCGATAATACGGAGCACGAACCCCTGGCAGCCCTCATCAGCTGACCCGCCGTGTCACAGCACAGACCACTGACCTGTGACACCCTCCCGCCCCCAGACGGCCGGCTGACGTTCGAGCGGGCCCTGCTGTACGGCCACGGTTGGGCGCTGGCTGTGTTCGACGTGCTGCTGTTCTGCTTCGTGGACCTGCTGTCCGGCAGCACCCTGCTGGCAGGAATGGTCGTCTTCGTTACCGGAAAGGTGAGAGTCGGCTGGTCGAGGCGTACTGCACCATGATTGATAGAGGAGGGCTAGGTTATTTATTTCAACTGAGCCCTCGCAAATGTGCAGCCAGTCGGGGTAGTGGCTAGATGCTCATCTATTACTTGCCTTCTGTTGTTAGTTATATTCTGCTGGTGTCGCCAATATCAATCCGTGAAGGAATTAGAATGAGACGTGATTAGCAACGGTAGCGATCCCCTCAACCCGTGTCGTATATTTGTGAGAACCGACGAGTGGTGCGAGGACCAGTGGCCACCACTGACCTCGGCTTTTGTGCGCGACAGATGGTCGACGCCGCACGCTACTATCTGGGCCGCCGCAACCTGGCCAAGAAGACACTGGTCGACGAGCGCTTCCTCATATGAGGGTCGTGGTGCGCGTAGTCTAGCCCGCCAACGCTTCAGCTTCCTAGCAGGCGGTTAGTCGTGAACAGCTATCTAGGCGGCGGCTAGTTCTGTCCAGCTTCGTAGGAGAAAGGTGCAGCAAGGTAGGCGACTCGGTAGAGTGGTGTAGAAGACATGCAGCTGAGCAGCGTGGCGTGAAACTGCAGTGCCTTTCCGACCCGTTGCCCCACTGCCACTGACAGTAGCTCAGGAGGGCACGGTCTGTATCAGCTGGCAGACCGGCTGACCATATTCCATGATCTCGTACGCGGTAGTGATGCGTATTCCGTCCTAGTCAGTTACCTGAATTTAACTTTGCTCTAGTCAGCGATGGATCTTGTCTGTAGTGCGGCCAGGTGTGTCCTCTGGATGTAGCGCGCCTCTTGCGCAGCGATTAGTGTGTTTGTAACGTGAAGTTTTAGTTTGTGTGTGCGTGGCGAGGGGCTGGCCACCGGGAACGAGCCCGTCCTTCGTCCGTCACGGGCTTCGCACATTCGCCCTGATGAAGTGAGGTGCAAGCCCTCGGAAATTGTGCCGTCCTCGCGTGTTCTTGTCTGTTCACTCTTGTCACATGATTCCATGTCGCAACTGATGCCTTCCACGTGTTATCTAGTCAGTTCATTGCATGCCACTAGCACTGGCACTGTACAAATGGCGAAACCGTCCAATGGTGCACTTATATTTCTCACGTGAGTGATTTGAGCGTTAATACACTTGCTCGTTCGTTATATAATTGTCATATATTCACAGCCGTGTCGGTCGCTCATCGGTCGGTAGCTATAGTTTTAATACAAATATGTGGCGTGACTAAGACACCACGATTGGAAGCTGGATTGATTATGAGATGACAGAGCTTCCGTGGATATTTGGCCTAGTGAGGACCTTATCATGTACACAAATACCTGATATCGTGACCAGTTACACTCATCACACGCTGTTGAAGCGATGTTGGAAGGGACAGTTGGCCGGCGCTCAGCGGTGCTGGTCGCTGTGGCCGGAACTCAGCGGTGCTGGTCGCTGTGGCCGGCGCTCAGCGGTGCTGGACGCCGTGGCCGGCGCTCAGCTGTGCTGGCCGCTGAACAGCCGCGAGTGCCGCTGCGAGGCGCGCCGCGCCAGCTGGTCGTGGCCGACGGGCCGCGGCTGCGGGGCGTTCACGTGCAGCGCGTCCGGCGCCGGCGGCACGGGAAACTCGTGCTGGACGGCCAGGTGCATCAGGTCGCCGACGTGCGGCGCCGGCGGCCGCCGGCCCGGCTCCGGACGGTACGCTTCCACGCGGGCCTGCCGGCGGCGCGGGGCGGTCAGATGCCAAAGCCACGACACGAGGGGCACAGTGCGACGCTGATGCGTGTCATACACGCTCAACGCTGAGTACGAAAATAACTACCAGTATAACGCCTTTTGGGGCGACTAACGGAGCGAGCGAGAGGGTGAGCCTTGCACGTGCGAAATGGCGAGGGGGTACCTCCAACTGAGTTGTGCACGGCACCCTACTAACCGGTCTCTAGCGATGTGCCCAATTTGAGCACAATTGGCCCAGCCGTTCTCGAGATCTGGAGGCGGCACCCTGCACGTGCGCACGTGCAAAATGGGTCCCAACTGACTTTCGCACGGCACCCTACTAACCGGTCCCTAACCATGTACCAAATTTGAGCGCCATCGGTCCAGCCGTTCTCGAGATCTGGAATCGACCCCTGCACGTGCGCACGTGCAGCAGCACCTCAACTCTGGCACATGGATATGCATTGCATAGTGGGTGCCTACCTACATGCCAACTTTCAGCGCAATCGGCCAAATAGTTACCGAGATATTGCAACAATTGCAAAAGTGACACCCCTTCGTTTTGCACGTGGCACGTGCATAAGGGGTCACCCACATGCATCGGGAATAGTCCAATACTTGGTAGAAGGAATGAAGCTACCCTACAAAAATTACCGCATGTAAATCGGTCAAGTGGTTGCTGAGATATAAGCTTCGCAAAAGCGTGACCACGGCCGGCCGGCCGGCCGGCCGCTCATACTCAGAAATTTCCGTTAATCTAAGGAAAGACTACGCTCGCTTCGCTCGCTCCGTAATTACGAAATACAAAGGGCGTGAGCGTAGCGCCCGACACACGGGTAATTGACAGGTCCTCTGTTGTCTAACCCTATCGGAACCGATTTCCAAATGCGTGGCAGACAACTCCTACATCTATGTTCCCTGAGTTTCCCGACAACAACTGACCGGAGTACCGTACGAGGTCGGCCAACGGTAGCATATTCTCTGGCGGTCGTCTCTCACCTGCGTGCGTGCCTCGATCTGTCTGACCAGCAGCGACTCTTCCAGCTCGACCGGTACCAGGTTACCGTACTGACACTCGCTCGGACCGTAGTTGAGACGCTCGAACGCCTGTCAGACACCGGGGGAGGGTGGGGGACGGAGCTTAGTCGCCTCGAGTCGCACAGTTGGCCGGTACGCCGATACCCCGCAATGGCATCACCATCGGCAGCACACCGCACGATTACTGACTCAAGTAACGGCAAATCAGCTCGGCCAAATAGCGACAAAACAGAATAGCGTAGGGTGTCACAACAGCGAGTAGGTACCTCGTACCTCAGCCCAGAACTCAATGTCAGCCAAGCATCTTACATATATCGTCAGTCTGTGGCCGTTGTCCGCGGTGTCCGGGCGGGCGGCACTGACCTTGCTGCGCACCTGCTGGGCGGCGCACGGGCAGCTCTGCAGCCGCTCCTCGGCCAGCCGGTCCAGGTCGGGCTCGTCCAGCTCCAGGCGCCGGATGCGCTGCGCCAGCCGCAGGGTGGTGTTGAACTCGGCCGAGGCCAGCGCCGGCTCCCCGCCGTCCGGAAACAGGTCGGCCGAGTCACCCGTGGACGGCAGCGAGGTCTGCGCCGGCTGTCGGCGAGGGCGGCTCTCAGACACACGGAACTCTATTGGGGTACTGTCAGGGTGGTCAGTCCATGTCTGGGCTGCTTCTTGCTTGAGGAGCTATTTCTGAGCATTCCAAAATATGCCAGGCAAGAGAGCAAGCACATTATAAGTGAAAATGGTCTAGAAAAATTGTTATTTAAGGTTAACACCTTTTCCTCCAAATTCTGGCAAACCCCCATAGCTAATGATGTTCAGAATGCAATAATCATAGCCTCACAAAAACTGATAAGGCAGATAGGCTAGAAATCTCCCCTGGTCTTACTCTAAAGTAACCACTGCCAGGGTCTCCCAAGCCACAACCATTAGGTATAACAACAACAATGGGCACTGTATTAGGTAGGTACCTTGTCACTCCACTCTAGATCACCTTTATCTTGTGCAATCTTCACAGGAGGGATATCTCCTTCTCTATGCCTCCCAAACTGCATCTGACCACCCTTTATGTTGACTATTCCACCACTTTGCTGAAGATCCATTGCCCTTTTGTTCAACTGTCTCTGTCTCAAGGGCCTTGTGTCTTGTTCAGGTCGACTGGGTGGCTTGAAGAACACATCTGTTCTTCCATGTATCTGTCTCTCACTTCGACTGAATGGCTCCATGGTTGGTTTCTTAGTTTTCACCACACGTTTCCTGCAACATCAATTATCAATATAAGCATAGATCAGAGATATAGATGAAATGAAATCTACAGTGGCTGAAAAGTAAACAATTAGCTAGGTATATCATCAGCCAGCCTCCAAGAGCAAGTATGAAGCAGGACTATATACCCCGAGTAGGACTCAGAGGAAAGGATATATTTTCACAAGCCTCTAGCCTCGTAACCTTAGCTATGAAATTATAGGTAAGTACGGCCCTCCAGCAAAAGAGTGGTTAGTTAGCCTATGTGCTTTTGGTGTAATAACTTTGAATGACAGAGACACTCCTGTAAAATGACTCAATAGAAATGAGAAGAGGGTTCGCGTGTGCACACTTCGGCAATGGTTTTCAACAGCCATTGGACGTATTCATCAATGCAGATCACTTATTGTGATGTTGATTGTGATGTTGGCAACCAACCACTAAATATCTGGAGGGCCGTACCTACTGGATACTTTTTATATTTTGGTTTTGATTTCAATTGACGGGTGGAAATGCGGCAGTAATTGGATGAAGGCGATCTCCACCACTCCCTTATTTTATTGCCAATTAATTTTCCAATATCACTCTTCAAAAAACTTATATTTTACTGCCCCAATCCAATCAATCGAATCAATCCCAATCCCAACAATCAAATAAAAATGAAGTAAATTGAATCGACCGCGCTTTATACACGTTCAAGGCTGGTAGTTTTTAGCCAGGTTTTTGGAGCCTTGAGTCAATGTTTTTATCAGATACATGACGTCAAATTTGAAACAAGAATAAAAGTTGACAATAAAAGATCGATATTCAATGAGTAATACAATAGCTTGGTACAAAAATATATTATTATGTCATCTCATGATGTTTATGATGAATGAACCCATAATTTTATCAAAGCTAACGTTTTAGAAACGTCATGTACCAAGGCTAGTCTTTCGGGGGTCATTTACGCTGCTTCGAATTCGACGCAGCTGTTTCAAAACCGGTTCCTATGTTTTGCTGATTTATTTGTTTTTGTTAATTGTTTGTTTTTGTTAATTATGCCTATAATTGCTCTGAAAGCCTATTACAATTATTACAACTACCTACTGATCTGCGATCAGCGCTTGCTGCACTAAGTCTTTTTGTCCTTAGATCTATTGCTTAGGTCGTTCCTCATGAGCATAATCATTGTAGGTTGGTAGGTACCTATTAGGTTGTAGGTTTTAGGTTGGTAGGTTGTAGGTTTGTAGCTTGTTGGTTGGTGGGTTCAAGGTTGCAGTTCAGTAGGTAAGGTTAGATCAGGTTAAAACGCTAGGCTGAACCTAGGGCTGTGGCAGGCACTGTTCTTTCTCTTAGCCCCCGCCTTCAGTCTGCCATCTGTGCTGCGAACTTTTCCCATCCACTCAGCTTACTACCCTAATTCCTAAATGTCTCTCTGCATGGGTAATCTCAATGATCTTTGTGCCATAGACAGTATTTTTCACTCCAGTTGGCAGTTCCTTGTAGTTTTGCCACAGTGCAGTTGCCACACTGCATTTGCGCTACTTTGCTGATTGCTTGAAGTGTATGCAAACTATTTCAGGGCTCACTCATTTGTTATTTTACGTCAGAAAATGTCAGACGATGTTAAAACTGAAGGCAGCGATGTGTCCTGGACGGACTTCCGATACAGTACTGCTCCTCGCTTCTCCACCATTCGAGTCAATATGGGCGACAAGGAAAGTGAGAGCATGGAGGATGACCTCAAAGATTACCTCAGAAAGGTGAGATCTTGTAATTGTTTGCTGTCATATGGTCCATGGATCCATGTGTTCAGCATCGACAGATCAATACCACCAATTACATATACTGTAAATCGGCTATATTGGTTGTTGCAAGGCCAAGGGAATGCCAAAAGTTTCATTACAGTAGATGGCTAAATGGGTCGTTGTTTCTACCAGGCGATTCTCTTTGTAGCGATACGTTGGAATTTGAATGCGTGTATATGTGTGCCCCTGCTGACGCGTCTGTGTTATGTGCCCAGCTGACGCGTCTGTGTGTGCCCTGCAGTTGTACCCGGACGTGGCGTACCGGGTGTTCCGGCACGGCTCGCTGCCGGAGCTGCTGGTGGTGCGGGCGGACGACCGGCCGCCCCCGACACCGCGCCACCGCCAGCTGATCGTGGACGCGCTCTGCGGGGCGGCCGTGCTGCGCGGAGCGGACGTCTACGCCCCGGGCGTGCTGGGCTGTCCGGCCGGTCAGTACCACGGACAGACGGGCCGGGTCGGATGACAGGAGAGCTCTGCACGTGGCGGCTGGTATGGCGCCGGTACAATTCTGGTGACGAGTTAGCAGCGATTGGTGATACAAACGGGGTAGAGCAACAAACTGCAAACAGTCGACACTAGAGTCATCGAGACAAATGACAAAACTGTTTCATCCATCGACTGTTTGCAGTTTGTTAGCACATAAACGCTCATTGGTGTGTAAGATACACGGACGCGTTTGGTAGATGGATGTGTATATTCTGTAAACTGTGCTCTGTTGCTGACCGTGCCTGTGCTACACTGCCCGCAGAGCTGCAGTCCGGTGACGCGGTGGCCGTGTACGCGGACCGGGACGGCCGCTGTCTGAGGGGCCGCACCCAGCCTTACGCCGGAGCCACCACCTTCGTCGGTAACGGCGTGATGCAGCTGTCCCGACGGGAGCTGTTCACCACCGACAGGCCCAGGTGAGGGCGACAGTGTTATCCTGTCAGCGGACGATGCGTCCACCCCCACCCGTCCATGCCGGCCCAGGTGGAGGTGAAAGCCCGCCTGTATTATCTCGCCTCACATCCTCTGAGGTCTCACTTGCTCACAAATGCATCGCCTGAGGCTGTGAGGGGCTTGAGTGAAGTGGTCCTTTCCGCCCATTGTCTGTCCGTTTTTCTGACAGTCCGGTGAGTCGGAATATCCGTCCAACTTTTAGTCCTAAATCTGTCTGTCGGTGTTTTGTCGGTCAAAGTTATGAGTCTTTTAATTTCGTCCAGTCTGACACTCGCCCCACCTCTGCGTCTCTCAGCGGCGTGGCGGTCCGTGTTACGGAGCCCGTGTTCGGCGCTCCCAGTCTGGGCCCGCTGTGCGGCCGGCGCGCCATGCTGCAGAACATTCCGTCCGCGCTCACCTCCCGGGTGCTGGCGCCGCGGCCCGGCGAGCTGGTGCTCGACATGTGCGCCGCGCCCGGCGGCAAGACCACCCATCTGGCGCAGCTGATGCAGAATCAGGTGGGTGCCCAGGGCGGATGGACAGTGTCTGCCGCCATCCGCTCAATGCACGGTCGAAATTGATGCATTCTCGTGACACAGCGCTTACCCTTTTCAGACACCCGTAACAGACCACAGACATTAGATACATGGAAAATGGTGACCTACACGAGATACTTTGTCCAGATTCAAGAAAGTTTCTTTTCTCCATACATTTACCCCGCGTTCGATGTCTCTCGGACGACGAAGATTCTACGTCGTCCGGCCAATCACGTTCCATAAACGCAGCCGAGCCCCCACTGACCTTGAACGGGATTGGCCGGACGACGTAGAATCTTCGTTGTCCAAGAAACATCGAACGCGGGATTAGATCATAGATGGAAGCGTCATGGTGAGGTGGTTTGAGCCGGTGGGCTGTGGGTTCCCGGGTTTGACAGGTGGGATTGGCCTGTCAGTTTCCCGGCTGGGCGGGTAATGTTGGGCGGCAGTTTCCGGGCGGGCCTGTGGCTCTGTGCAGGTCGACTGACGGCTGGCTGTCCTTGACAGGGTCTGCTGTACGCGTTCGACCGGACGGCGGCCAAGGTGGCCCGTATCGCGGCGCTGGCCGAGGAGCAGCTGCTGAGCTGTGTGCACGCCCTGCGCGCCGACTCCACGCGTCTGCTGTCGGCCGACTCGGCCTGCCGGCTGCGGCGGCGGCACCTGACGGGCGAGCCGTGCCCGCAGCACGCCGACGGACCGTGCGCGCCGCCGTTCGCGCCCGACACCTTCGACCGAGTGCTGGTGGACGCTCCGTGCAGCGGTCTGGGCCAGCGGCCGCGGCTGACGCCGCCCGCCGCCGGCGCCCAGCTGCGCTCCTACGGGCCGCTGCAGCGCCGGCTGCTGGCCGTCGGCGCCGACCTGGTGCGGCCCGGCGGCCGGCTCGTCTACAGCACGTGCACCGTGCCGCCGGCCGAGAACGAGGCCCAGGTGGCCGCTGCTCTGGTGGCACGGCCGCGGCTGCGGCTGGAGCCGGCCGAGCCGCGGCTGGGCGGGCCGGGTCTGCCCGGCCACGGTCTGGACGCCGACCAGTGCGGCCGGGTGCAGCGGTTCGTACCGCAGCCCGAGTCAGACTGCTGCGACCGGGACACCATCGGCTTCTTCATCGCCTGCTTCAGCAAGGCAGAGAGCTGACGAACGGCCCGGTGCGTACAATAAATTACTATATACTGTAAGCATTCTGTCGCTCTTTTTTCAAAAGGTCAGGCAAACATTTGGGGTGCTACCGTATGCTTTAAGCCACCTAACACTCATTTGTTAAACGCTGGTTGAAGTGACATTTTCAAACCAGTACGCAAAGACATGGATGCTAGTACGACAAAGGCGTTGATAGCTTTGCTACGGTTGTATGCTGATTGAAAGCGTTTTCCTCATTAAGTCGTCATAGAGGGCGTCGAGTTACCACTGCATGGCGATAGTAGAATCTGACTTTATTGGCGACACGTTTAAAATACAAATAGACATAGAGCAAGTGTACGGCGGCGTCACTGCTACATCAACACCACTCCACTGACGCGCTGGGGACCAAGCTGAGAGAGCGCGGGCCGCGGGCCGCTAGTGACGGGCGGCGAGAGGCGGCCACGGCGGGCGGGGGCGGCCAGTGAGGCCGTACCAGGGGCGGAGCGGCCCGAGACGGCTGCCTCGGAGACGGGGGCGGCCAGAGAAGCAGCCGCCGAACTGTGAACTGACACTGATATGTGGAAGCGAAGCCAAATTAATCCTGACTGACGAGCGGCGCCCCTGCAGCGGGGGGTGGGGGATGTCGGCGGGCGCGGCGCACACTGACTAGTGGGGACTGACTGGGAGCGGCCCGCCGGACCGGTGACCGGCCAGGGGAAGCGATGGCAGTGACTGGGCGCGGCGCTGCAGCGCGCCGATGGCGGTCCGCCCCGCGCCGAGGCCCCACCACTCGCCACCTACGTACAGCAAGCTAGTTGGCCGGCGGCGCGGCGCACACGCACTCCATATACATAGTGAACCGGGCGGCGCGCGGGCCGCCGGCTTGGCACGAGTTTCAGACGAGATTCGGTAGTCGCCGCCGCCGGCCGGGAGGGCCTGTGTACCTCCGGCGGCGGCCGGCGCGGCCGGCAAGGCACCGCGGCCGCTCACTGCAGCAGGTCGTTCCATACGCCCTGCAGGTAATCATTGTTCTGATCATAGTCGTACGAGTAGTTGTCATAGTCGTTGTTGTAGTTGTTATCGAAGTCGTAGTACGGTGTGCGCTCGCTGGCGTTGGCCAGTTGCGCCTGTCCGCCGTTGTAATCGTAGTCGTACTCTGGGACATAGTCGAGCGGCGGGTACTCGGGCGGCGGGATGGGGTCCGTGCCACCTCCCAGGTCCGGCAGTGACAGCGGCGCGCCCTCGTCCCTGCGGAGGGCGGAAGGCAGCGGTCATAGGGGCAGCACCACCGCGCGGCCCGACCGAGCTGGGCTGGACTGGGCTGAAGGACAACTCCGACAGACACTCAATTTCTGTCGAGAAGCTCAGATACGTTCATGCCAAGGAGCCCCGGCCTCACCTACACCAGTGGTGGCCCAGTGTCCGCTACAATGATAACACTCGAGAAACTTGGCTAACCCTATGCCAATGTCAAATCGTTGGACTCCACTCAGCGGATGACACCCAGCCCGCAGTCGTTTGAGGCCGGGCGGCCGGTCACACCCGGCACCACGGCCGCCCAGAAGCCGACTTACCCGGTACAGGGGCTGACATTGGCGCCTCCCTGCAGATCAGTGGTAAAGTCCACCGGGTCTCCCTGGATGGAGAGCTGGTGTACGCAGCCGACCAGACCCATCGCGAACCGGCCGTCCGTCATCAGCTCAAAGTCGGGCAGACCGCCTGTCGGATGGTAAAGGAATCACTGACTGATGTGGCAGTCACAGTCATCAGCTCAAAGTCGGGCAGACCGCCTGTTAGGAAGTTTTTGGGTCACCGACATGGCAGCCACAGGGTGACAGGGTCACAGTTATCAGCTCAAAGTAGGGCAAACCGCTTGTCGGATAGTTAGGGAGTCGCTGACTGATGAGCCAGTCACAGGATGACAGTCTCTTGCATAATCACATGGTCACAGCCATTGACAGTCACAGGGCCAGAGTCAGCGCTGCCGACCTAAATGGGAGTCCTAAAGTGATCGGAACACCCGACACTTTGCAGCGTTTTGCGAAGAGTAGCATTACGCTCAAGGCAGGCTATAGGCACAGAAAAGGTGAGTTCGAGGCTCTGAGAGGCACTATTCGGGGTCCAGTAAGGCATGCCTCTGCTTGAGTGTGACTCGCTCACGGGCGCTACAGAGGGCCGCCGGCGGCGCCACTGACCGATGTAGATGTTGCCGTTGGTGTTCATCATGGTCAGGTAGCCGGGCGTCTCGCCGCTCTCCGAGTAGGTGTCGTCGAGCAGCAGCTCGCCCTGGCGGCCGGTGCGGCGCGCCACCAGCGTGTGCTGGCGGCCGTCCGCCACCCGCTGCGGCAGCGTGATCCGCAGCGGGCCCGAGCCGAGCTCGAAACTCAGCTCCGGCCGGCCCGCCCGCACTGCGGCATACGGAACACCCAGGGCGTCAGTCGGCAGTCAGAACCGGTCAGTGCTGCATGGAACTACTGCTGTTTACCACTAGTTCTCATACTGATTGTACTGATTACTGATTATTTGTAAAGCGCACCAAGTTTTTCTCTAGCTCTCACAATCATGGCATTCACGATCCTCGGCGTCTGAAAAAAACATATTTGCTGGGAAAGAACTCGGGAGCGAGCCGAACCAATATACACAGGTGATGGACGACGGTCCGTATCCCCGCTACCGGCAAATTGCACGCCGGCAAACATCGGCACCTTTGCCTCACTCAACGCCTGGACAGGTGTGCTACTCAACCTTCCCTGGGTGCTAGCAGGACATGTGCTACCTTATAGCTACCCTTCCCCGGGTAGCCCACTTGTCCTATAGCTACCGACGGATCTGCTTTTTGCGCCCCTGACGCTCACCGCCCGGGCATCCCTGCTCCTCCCAGCCCTGTAACTGACCGGCGATGGCGATGTAGTCCTGTCCGGCGCCGCGCTCGCGCGCAGTCTGTCCGTGGAAGAAGAGCAGGCCGTCCTCCTCCAGCGTCGAGAAGGTGATGTTGACCGTCTCGGGCTGCGAGTTGGACTGGTGCGGCAGCAGCTTCAGCGGCAGCTCGGCGTACGAGTGCATGTCGAACCACAGGTGAGAGCTGAGCTCCACCTCTGCAGAGAGAGACACGGACGTCAGGACAGTCGAGAACAAACGCAAAAGCCCTGCAGAACGGTAACGGTCGTAAGAACACTTCAACTGGGACGTTCTACAGAGCCGGGTTATCCGCATAGTTCTATAAAAAACGCATATAGACATCTACATGGCCATTCGGCACTCACCTCGCTCGCAGTAGATGCCGCCGAAGCCGAGCGGACAGTTGCAGGCGGTCATGCCGGCCCTCTGGACACACTCGCCACCGTTCTGACACGGGTTGTTCCGGGCGCAGTCGTCCTGTGAGACCTGCGTGTCGGCAGCGGTCAGTCAGCTCGGCCACCAGGAAAAAAAACGGCGCGATATAATTGGACACGGTTTACGTTGCATTCTGGCCTCCCTCTTCGCGAAAGAAAGCACCGATGTCCCTACAAGCTACGGCATCGCACTCCACATAATGCGACATCCCTCCTTAACATCCCACTCCAGAGACGTCTCTATCTCACCTCGCAGCGTTTTCCGGAGAAGCCGCCGACGCAGTCACACTGGAACTGGTCGGGCTGGTAGCCGGTGTCCCGGCAGGAGGCGCCGTTCAGGCACGGCCGCCGCTCGCAGGGCCGCGACGGCGCGCATTGGTCCACGTTGGCCGCGTCCTGGCGGCCGTCGAGCAGCTCCAGCTCGCGGTCGTCGACGCGCAGCGAGCCGACGCAGCCGATGAGGCCGCGCTGCACGCCCACGCCGTCGCTGACACGCACCCGCTGCCGGTCCACGCCGCCCAGATACAGCGGCGTCTGCAGGTTCAGGCCGCGCGTGCTGCCCGGGGACTTACCCAGCACCTCCTCACCTGGTGAACACCGCCGGATGGACGGCCCGATACGTCAGTGGGAATGTAACGCACTTATCGGGGAACACGCTCACAGGGCCGAGGAAAGAACCCCAATTAATGTTCTATTAATGACATCGAAGCTCAGGCGCTCCTTTAATTTCGTTGTTGAAAAGGAGGGACCCAGTCACCCGGTCAGTTCGACCTACGTAATTCGTTACAGTAGCAGGGAACTTTTCATACACTATTTTCCCTTTGAAGATACGGCGAGTTTTCTGAGGGATGGGCAGACCCCCGCCGTCCACCTACCGTCGTTGACCCGGAGCGTGCCGTCCCTCATCTGGCGTGTGCCGGCGATTTTGATCCACTCTCCCTGTTTGACCTCCTCGGGACTGCGCAGCACGGCGGCGCCGGTGCCCGTGTCGTACCTGGGGACACGGGAGAAGTTGGAGGCGGCGCCGGCGCTCCTGTCGAACTCGGGAGCACGGAGACGGGCCAGGGACGGCAACCAACACACAGGAGACAAGAAACGATGACACGGAGAGGCGACGACAAAGACAGCGCAAGTCAGACGTGCAGCGCACACGATCAGACTGCCGGAGGGTCCCCTCTGAGGAGCCCCAGCAGCTGTCGCCTGGCCACCCACCGGAATTCGACGTGTTTGTCCTTGATGGCGAGCGCCACGAAGTCGCCCTGGCCCTGTTCGTTCTGTGCGGCGTACAGCAGCAGGCCGTCCTCGACCTTCTCAGGCTTCAGCAGCAGGTCAAACTTCAGTCTGACGGTGGAGAAGGTTTGACAATAAGTAGCGTTGAGACATACATAAATAACAGATAGATTCGCAATCTTTGCTATCTGGTCAGACCAACCAGCTCAACAAGGCCCTCTGACGCACCTCTTCCCCCACAGTCCCAGGCACATCCCCCCCAAAGCCCCACTCCCTCCCCTCTCCCCGTCTACTCACTGTCTGATGGCCCGGGGCGTGTCGTAGGTAATGTAGCTGTCGCCGCCAAAGTTGGGCTCTGTGATGACGATATCTCGCTCGCAGCGGGCACCCGTCTTGCCGAAAGGACAGTAGCAGGTGAAGCCGCCCGGAGCGTTCACGCAGCGGCCCGAGCCGCAGGCACCTGGCGGCGGCGGTGACGGTGGAGTCAGAAGAGATATACACGACGTCAGGGCACAACCCGGATAATCGAACATGGAAAGCAGGACAGACCACGAGCAATGGAAACACACCGTTTTTCCACTTCCACACTGCAGCCCTGAAGGCACGGACCACGCCCTGACGGCAAGGGCCTCTTGGTGGTAACTGACGAGCCGGCCTCTTATCTACACGATGGGAGCTAAGTAGTTTCCCCTGCGTTTTTTTATAATCATAACGTAATCTTCTAATGTCGTGTTATGGGCGCCGATGACCACTATAGTCCGGGCGCCCCAAACCCCCAATTCATCATCAT